ACTTTTTGTCACTAAAGTGTTAAAATGTGATAGCATTATTCATGTTATATGACATATTATTAAAGGTCCTATATTACACAAAACTGACTCTTGTGAGCTTTTAGTCATGTTAGAATGTTGTTATCTCATCAAAACATTCCTGGATTTGTGTTTTGTTTCATTCACACACATTTGAGTAAACCAGACATGTCAAACTCAGGCCCGGGGGCCAAATTAGTCCCGTGATGTAATTATATTTGACCCGCGAGATCATGTCAAATATGTATTAGAGCTGGCCCGCCGACTACAGACAGGCTACAGAGACATTATTTATTTAAAATTTTGTCATTATTTTATATTATGCTTGTTCTGGATTCAATGTTTAAGCAAACCTATTATTAAACATTTATTTTAATAAGAAAAGGATTAACATTACATATCTCGAAAGAAGAGAAAACACGCAGATGTTGTTGACATTTTAAAAAATATTTAGTTTGGCCCACGACTTAGTCCCAGTTTTTAATTTTGGCCCTCTGAGAATTTGAGTTTGACACCCCTGGAGTAAACCTTTATTATTAGTCAGTCTACATCTCCTCTGCTCCACCTTGTGATGTCATGAAGCGGTAGTTTTCAAGTTAACAGCTACCTTCTACCTTTTGTTCACTACAGATTTGTCAGTTCCAGGGCTAAAATCATCCAAATTATTCTAGTGAAAGTGTATGGAGTTTAAAAACATAGTGGAGCACTTCCTGTATTATCAAATGACGTGACAAGGTGGAGCAAAGTGTTTTCTGTTTGAGAGAAAAACTCAGCCTGAATATGCAGTTTGTGTGTTGAACAAAACAACTCCAGATATGTTTGCGATGAGGAAACAACATTAGAACATAGATCAGAAAATAGAGTAATACAGAACCTGAATCGTCTGAATACTGTCGGCAACATGATTCACTTTTGTCCAGCCCTACAGCCTATTATGATATACGATGGTATGATATGGAGTTGTGTTCGTTTTACTGTGAGGATCTTAACATTACTGATAAAACGCACCACTGTTGCCTGACGCAGTGTTTACAGAGCCCTTCTCTAGTGTTAACACAAGTGAGTGGTTCCTGTTTATAAGGGCCTCAGAGATGGATGGACTGACAGACCTCTCCTGATTTATAATGTACAAAACCGACTAAGTAAAGGAAAGAGATTGGAGACATGTTATGCTATGTTATGAACCGCCCTGTTGACTATTTCAGCCACATTTTTCCACTGTCCGAGCAAAGAGAAAATCTTGGCTCGCGATGCTGAAAGGTCAAAGGGTGTTTCATTAGAGCAGGTGATTAATGCGTAGGATAGCGACGCCAAGAACCACATTTTCGGATTGTTTGGATCCAGTTGTCATCAAGGGCTGGTAGTTAGGACGTCTGGGAATAATTTCAGGCCTAATTAACAAATCTTTTGAAACTCGACTTGGGAACAGTGTAACCCAAATCCTAATAAAAACAAAGTGGTCGAAATTGGAACAGGGCCTCGCATAGCTGCTAATGGCATCGAGAAGATCACTGGACACACTGGAGCCTAGTAATCTACGCAACATGATGACAATGCAGTACTTAAAGGTGCGCTGTGTAACTTTTCTAGTCCTCCTTGTTATTGTTAAAGGGCCTGTATTACATTATAGGGATGTAACAATAACCCAAATATTGTGATATCGTATCATCAAGTCTCATAATAATATCATGGACTGTCACAATATATAGAATCACAAGTTCCTTTGTTTAAATGCAGGTTTTATAGAAACAACAGTCTATAAACATCAGGAACTACATTTCCCATGATTCATTTCAGCGCAGACAACATGAAGAAATATGTTTTTTACTTGAATTCTTGGGATTATGACAGAAATAATTCACACCAAAATCTTGTCAAGGTATTTTAGAAGAAAAAATGTGTCCCATCTATAATTATATCAGCCTCTTCAAAATATTGCAATAATTATCGTACCGTGAGATGCATATTGTGATAATATTGTACTGTGAGATTTGGATATTGTTGCATCCCTGGAATATGACAATAAATATTTTACCAAATTACAGGTCAAAGCATTTTATAATGCCAGTCATGTTATTAAGTATAATATAGCAATATCATGACCTTTCTCACGATATCGCAATAATTATTGTACTGTGAGGTTCATACCATGACAATATCGTATTGTGAGACTTGGATATCGAAACACCCCATTACACTATTTTCTGATCTCAACTCATCACATTCCTCATCACAAACATACCTGGAGTTGTGTTTCGTTTCATTCACATTCTTGCCTATTTCGGCTGAGTTTTTCTCTCAAACAGAAAACACTTGTGATGTCGTGATTTAACACAGGAAGTGCTCTACTGTGTTTCTAAATTCCATACACCTTCATTAGAATAATTTGAATAATTTGAGCCCTTGAATTGCCCATCTTTACTGAACAAAAGGTAAAACATAGTTGTTAACTTGAGTTATTAACTGAGCTTTGGAGATGTATACAGATTAATAATAAAAAAATACTCAAACATGTGTGAATGAAACAAAACACAACTCCAGGTACGTTTTTGATGAGGTAACAACATTATAACATGACTAAAAACTCACAAGAGTCATTTTTGTGTAATATAGGACCTTTAAATATATATTTATTTTCCAATGTGTGTCAGTAAACATATGAGCAGGTTTGCCTCTCCACAGATTTGACCAGTAAGTTAATGCAATGGAGACAAGCAGATGGTGTGCTCTCCACCAGAAAAATTATAGCCCATATAACTATAATTTGAATGTTTTTTATCAAAGAACTGAAGATTGTCTGTATAATCTGTATTTTAGAGAGATGGTGTCTACAGTACCTTAGATATGCCCATTGGGTTTAGGGTTAGTTGAATTTGGGCTCAATGTTCCATGAAGTTCTCTACATTAGCTTGTATGGAGCTCATCTGTGAACGCCCGCCTCCAGTTTCTGAAGTAAATTTTTCATTCATTTCATTTTTCTTAGACAAAAATATATTAGAAGTTTGAAAGCTTGGGTCAATCAGCTATGTGGTGACTAATGATCATATGATGTATAACTGTATTTATTTCAAGTCTGTTTCTTTAATTAAACCACAAAGTGATTAAAACATTTTGCTGAATCTTGTGTTTTAAACTGCCTTTTTGAACTTTAAACACCAGAGTTATGAATATTAATTACCATATAGCTGCTTAGCCTCCGCAGTGCTTTTGAACTCTTGAGATATATATATTTTTTACTTCATTTTTATTTTCTTTTTCAGTAATAATACAATAATTAAAAAATCAATACAAACATTTTCTTTTTTTTAAACAATATAAGTTTGTAACAATAAAGAAACAAGCAAACAACATGGTAATAATGATATAACTAAATGTCCACGCATTATGTATCAGAGACAGTTATAAAAGAAGCCCCATGTCCTCTACTGTATTAACAAAGGCATAACAGGTTTCCAGCGCGTAATAAATATGGTTTTTTGACTCCTTAAAGAATATGTTATCTGCTCCATTTGGTATATATCCCATACTTTCTGAATCCATGTTATAAGAGGGAGGATCTGGTTTGAGCCATGTGATGGTTATACATTTTAAAGCAGCAGCAAGTAAAATATTCAGAAGGTATTTTTCATCTCGTGTGCAGATACTTGCAGGTAGCGCTCCTAATAATTCTACTACTTATGTGGTAGATGGAATATGTTGATTAAAAATAACTTTAAGGGCATCAAAAACTTCCCTCTGAAACAAATCTAGTTTAGGACAATGCCAAAATATATGTGTGTGGTTAGCATTGACCTGAACTCTTGATATTTGAATATTTCAAAATGTCTATGTGAAAAATGAATGGAAAATTTACTTCTGAAATTAGAGCAGACTTCAAAATGAGCGCGACTGTGGAGCCCCTTTGCTTTAACTTTAACTTATGAATTGCTGTGTTGTGTTGCGAGGAGGAGGCAATGCATCTTGTAACTTCACTTCGAAAACTGCAGAAAATCCCACATTTAATTTAGATTTTTAATAGTACTTCAACAATCTCCCCTCCTCTGAGTTGTTGTAGACCCTGTTACAGCATAAAATTATGTAAACGAAATGCGCTGAGGTAAACCTTGCAGTTTTTCTTGGCAGTGAGTGTAATTTATTCAGATGGAGGTGTGAATGGGAGGTCATTTACATATTTACTATGTGTCACCGTAGTTACAAAGAAAGGTGTGTTCACAATTCAGTGCAGGCCTACACTTATGAATGGGCTCAAGTGACAAAACAAGCATTCATTCATAAACCTGAGCCTAGCCGTTTGCCATACTGAAGTAATTAGGCACTGTTGGCTATATACATCCAAGTTTACCCCAAATTGTGTTAAATAGGTGTTTTAATTGCTTGTGTATTTACTTAAAAACCTGGTATGTAACTTTTAGCCAAAATAAACTAAAATAATGTCTGCTTTTTTTCATTTGGTTGTGTTTACTGCACTGAAACACATCTGTCCTCACTCTGAGTGGGCTTGCCTCTCCACGAACCTGCTTGTGTCCATGGAAATTATAATTTTTCACAGTATGGCATGAATATCTGTCATCTGTTTATCTCCATGGGAATATTATTGTTTTGTTTTTGTTCCACAGTATCGCATTAAACACATACCCTAGCAATCATTTTTACTACTACTAAGTGTTTTTATTGCTTAAAAAAAAACCTTAAAACCTGCATTCTTCTTTGAGTGGTGTCAACTTTCCACAGATCTGACCTGTAACATGATCTGGTGTCATCAACTGCTCTTCTCCTTTGAGACAGATCAGTTTAATGCCGTAACATATACATGAAAATTGCAGACTGCATGTCGTCCACCAGAAAAGTTACATAATGAACCTTTAACACCAGTATATAATTTCTTGATCAAACTTTTTAATGCCCTCTCTCACACACACTTGTCGTATGAGTCATGTCTATTCATATGCTTCATGTACATTCTCTGTGTGCTTTATTGACAGTGTTGGCAGACAACTTGAAGTCTAACCCTGGGATCAAATGGCAGTATTTCAGTTCAGAGGAGGGCATCTTCACTGTGTTTCCCGCCCACAAGTTCCAATGCAAAGGGACCTACGAGCACCGCAGCAGGTAAAAAGACTGGAGCACAAGTGACTACTATGTGACTCAGCAAAGGTCTTCTTCACTTTATCTGCTTTTTATTCTTGTCTATGCCATACTCTCTCTAATCAGTGTGAGAACTTTATTGTACACACACAGGAGACTTTTAATAAGATAAAAATGGGACAGATACGCAACTTGCAGTATCAGTTTTAGTACTGTACTATCCTACTGTTTAATACTGTTTTTCAATTGGTTTCTTCATTATAGGGATGTAACAATAACCGAAATATCGTGAAATCATATCGTCAAAATTCTGAACCATTACAATATATCGAACTACAAGTGTTTTTGCTTAAATGAAGAGTTATGGTGCAGCAAAAGCTAAAGAATGACAGAAACCTACATAGACCATGATCCTTTGCTCCATTTCAGTGCAGACTACATAAAGAAATAACAGTTCTAAACACTTTTAAATCTTGTCAAGGCATTTTAAGAGAAAAAAAATTAACACACCTCCACAAAATATCACAATAAATATCTTACCGTGAGATGTATATCGTGAAAATATCGTGCAGAGATTTGGATATTGTTACATTCCTAATCGTGAGCCTCTCCACCATATCGTGAGCTTTATCATGATATCGCAATAAATATCGTACCGTGCCGATATCGTATTGTGAGACTTGGATATCATTACAACCCTACTTCATTATACTGCTATCTATCTACGCACACCATGTAATTTTGTATATCAATGACGGGCATGTATCTCATTTCAATTTAACAATACAGGAACAGTTTAAATTTTCATACATGTATTAGAATAGGCTTATATGTAAAAAAACAAAACAAAAGCCACAACATGCACAGTAGTTCGTAGATGCATAAAGCTATTGACGTCACACTCCTTTAGTCCATTTCTTTATAAAGCCTGTGGTTAAAACATTGTAACACACTGCTGTTTACTTAATTGTCCTGCTTTAGGGTTATTGTGTCAGTAGTTTAAAGTAGTTTCAATATTATGGGATATCATATTTCAAAAGTTGTTATTGTGGAAGGCTTAGGTTGGTAGCACGCTGCCCCCTCACATCAGACCAAACATGTCCTGAGCAGGAATGTTCGGCCGTACCACTAAACTAACTGGTATTTCACACCTTTAGTGTTGTGGTTTTTACACAACCATTGGTGAAAGACATCTCTTCCCCCTTTCCTTTATGTATCTTTTGTCTCTCCCTAACTGACGATTTGGTCATTTGCATTGGTTTGCGTTTTGGCTTCCTTCCCTCTCGCCCCAGTCAGTTGTCTGGCACGTAGCCATCATGTTGCCTGGCTGGCCTGAAGTTTGAATAAGTCTTTGTAAGTACATCAGTGCTATTATTCTCCGTAACAGACAGACCACACACAGATCCTCCTCCTCTCAGATGATGTATGTAATGTAAAGAATATGGGACATTCCATAACAAGCAGGATAAGAGAAAGCAGGTGTTTAAACAATGAGATTTCATATAACTATTTGTAGATGAAAAACTGATGTAATACGCTGCAGTAAGTCGTACATTTTGTTCTGGGAAGTAGGTCTTAGAGGAAGGGAAAAAAAACCTCTGTAAATCTAGCCTCGATGGTATTGCTATAACTGTGAAGACTGTCAAAAAAATCAATAACTAGTAGACACAATTCATATTAAAACATTTGAAACTAAATTTGAGCAGCTATCAGTGCTGAAAATCTCATGGGACCAAGGCAGACTTTCCTGAATAGTTTAAGAATTGTTTTAATTTAATAGAAGTAGTTTAAGACTAGCCTGATTCATCAGCCGGTTTCACTTTGTTTCACTTCGTGCTTGCTCGACAGTAGGCAGGTACTTTTTATCATTTAACCAATCGCTGCTATTTGGTAGTCAAGTATGTAATGCACTGCTAACAGGGCTAACTGGTATATTGAGCTTTTCCCAAATCCAGTAGGAAGAAGGGCAATAACGTCTTTCCCCTTGATCAAATTCACCAAACATTCTGTTTATTCTGGCTTTAAATCCTTGATCTCGGGAATCGTTGACAACACTGAATATATGGCTCTTTGCTGATTGGCTGGTGCCCGAACTTGCACTTCCGGGGTTTTTGCAAACCCTCTAGTGTATTTTGATTCCTGACCTAGTTGCTGGAGAGAAATTAAATTGAGTGGAAGCACTAGGTGGCGCCAGCCTGACTAGTTTAAGACCACATGGTAATTAAAACTAGGATTGATAAAAATAGATTAAAAAAAAACTTATACAAATCAAAACTAGTATCAAAATTAGATGCTTTTTTGAAGAGGTATCGATACTAAAAAAAAAGTCACATTCACAGGACAGAAATTAACCTTTTCTAAATAGCTTCAGAACAAGTACAAGAGCACATAGTCTAGTATATACGCCTATGGACCACAATCAAACCTACCTGGACGACTAAGGGATTACACAGACGTATGTGAAAATCACATTGTGTTTTCTAAATAAAGAGTGTTTTTTATTATCATTGCTTTATCGGAATTGGTATCGAGTACTGAGTCTATTCCATAATATCAAAATTGTGTTCGATTTGAGTTTTATTTTTGGTTGAACATTACATTTGTTTGCATAGGAGAGAGTGTGGTTGTCATTGAGGTTTCTGAAGTCAATATTGAGTAGGAGGCCTTTATCTCAAAACTGAGTTAAAGTTGAATTGCGTGACAACTGTGGAAGCTGGTCCCCAAAAGCAGAGGCGTCTGGGGAGAGGGAGACCTGTCTGTTTGACTGCTGCAGCTGTGGCAGTACCCTCAGGCATATTTAGATTAATGAACAACATGTAGTTTCAGTTTCTAAACAATACCTCTTTATTCCTGTGTATTTGACATGGTTTGAGTTGGTTAATGTGCCTTTTCCATTACATCTCGTCATGAGTTTACACTGAGAGTATCTTTGCAGGCCTGTGTACGTCTCTGCGGTCCGTCCTCAGTCCAAACACATTGTGGTGATGGTCGACCATGGAGCCTCTGTCACTGAAACCCAACTCCAGATCGCCAAAGACTCAGCCCTGGTCATCCTGAACTCCATCGATGAGCATGACAAAGTAAGATCACGCAAAATAACTCTGAACAATATTAGCAAATTAAAGGTGAGCGATAACTTTTCTGGTTGTCTCCATGGTTGCCTGGGATGTTCCGTAGTATGGCATTAAACAAGTATATCTCGTCCTTATTCAATTACAGGTGTTTTTATTTCTCAAATCTACCGTGAAACATGCATTATTTCTGTGAGTGGGTCCGCTTCTCCACAGATCTCACCTATAACTTGGCCTAATGATATGGCCTGCTTGTCTCCATGGTGATAGTTAAATTAAATGCTATACTGTAACATGTTAAACAGGTGGCGGACCTCCAAGTAGAAAAGTTACCCAGTACACCGTTTTAAAGATGAGTGATGTAACTTTCCTGGTGTAACAGCATTGCAGCGAAGCAGTACCCAACTCTTGTTATTCAAGGTGTTTTTGAGCAATAAAAGCACTCGTAGTTCCATAAATGCTAGATAGATATGTTTAATGCCATACTGTGGAATATACAAAGCTATAACATTGATGGAGACCAGCAGGTTTCGGGCCCTCTACCAGAAAAGTTACATAGTACATAGTCCTTTAATATCTTGATTTTATTTTGAAAATCCATCAGATATTAGTGAAAATGTGAGGTTATTATTACACAAAAATGAATAGACTTTGAAATGAACCACAAACGGCATAATTATTATTCTTGTTTGGTAGATTACGAAGAAAATTTCTGTTGTAGCATTTTTTTAATCATATCTTTTTGTAATTTTTCTTTATAGACAATTTACGGAACTTAGCATTGTTATTTTGCATATTCTAATCAAGGATTTTGGCATTATTTTCTTAACAATACTTAACTCAACTGTAACGCCAAACCGCTTTTCAATAACTGACAGTAAGTATAATTTTAATCTGTTTTTTTTTTCTTCTTCAGATTTCTATTCTCTCAGTGGCAGAGTCAGTACGAGCCTGTTCTCTGGACCAGTGCTACAAGTCCCTGCTCTCCCCGGCCACCAGTGAGACCAAGAGGAAGATGAGCACCTTCATCTCTAATATAAAGGCGTCAGATGGGTCCACACAACACTCAGCGGGCTTCCAGAAGGCCTTTCAACTGCTCAGAAACACCACCAGCCTCACCAAGCACCCCACAAGTAAGATCTGTGACGAGATACATACTCTAACAAAAACTGATATTAACGTTACGGGGGACGCTGTTCATACTTAGCAGTGACATCATGCTGGGGGTATACTACATGTATGCATATGATGGAATGTTCATGAGTTACTACGGAGACACAATGAAAACACAGACAAAAATGTTTTAATATAAGGTACAAAAGATAAAAAACTCAAGGAAAAATACAATATGGATTTAAACAACACATTTTCAATTGCCTGTGATCAATACAACCGTTCATGGTTCTGTTTAGGAGTTTGATTTTCAACAAAAGGATGAGAATGACTAACTAAAAATTGTACTTCCAACTAAGGCCCCATCCACACTAGTACGTATTTGTGTCATTTTTGTTGTGGATACAGTGGTTTGTCCACACTAATCCGATTGAAAATGACTCCAGAGACGGAACGATCTGGTACCGCCAGCTCCCACGAATTCATCTGAGTACAGATCTGATCCTGAAAACACTCGTATGCTGATGTAGGTCTAATGCGCTGCAAAGAAATTCACCGCCAAAATACTAAGAGGCTAGAATATATGTCCATTCATGTATACGGTCTAGGTGTATGACCTGCAGACGTATAATCTCTGAAAAGTTTCACATGAATCATCTCCAATGCAATAGAAGCACAGAACAGACTCACCATTAGCAGAACACCCCTTTGTCACAGAAAGAACACGCATATTCCACTGAGCCGTGTCATTTAGTCCGACAGAAGCTGAACTGCATCAGTGTACAATAGCGAGCCGTTTTTTGAGAGTTTAGTTTATGCAAATTGACCATACGGTTTTAAGTTTCGTTTTTGTAAAACATAAACAAATATGCTCAAAGCTGTGTGGATAAGGAAGGCTTGCGGGCACAGAAACGACGTATCTGAACTCAAATCGTTTCTGATACGGTGATGCATTTCAGTGTAAACATAGTCTAAGTCAGCTCCCTGTGGTCAGATTGCATTAAATTAAAGATCAGATTAAAGTCTAATAATCTGAGTAACAAAGCTTCAGACAGAATAGTACCAACAACCTCAGGAAATGTTGATGACATCAGCTGCAAAGTATCAATAGCACAATGTAAAATGTGGTTAACTGAATTTACTATTACTGCATACAGAGAGGATATGGTATACTATGGAAGATGCATTATCTGTTAAAAAGTAGTTTTGTTATTAGAATTACTTTATGAATGATCTTATTTATAATCAAGATTCCAATGTAGTAATGCAAAGTAATGCATAAGTATAATGTATTTCTGAACACTTTTGCATAATGAGACTGAATATTTTGCTGTACGACATAATTTGTTGGACATTGTGTTACCAAAATATGATAATAACAGCTGTTGTTTCTTGTGGTGACTGTTCAAATGGTTTTCATTTGTTTAATTATAGCCCTTTAACCTTGTATGAAATGACTTGACAGCTTACTATTTTATAATATCAGTTTAATTATAGCTCTTAAACCCTGTATGAAATGACTAAACGGCTAACGATTTTTATAACATATTCATTTCCTTTTTTCTTCTCCAGTGTTTAATTCGGTGACAGCCACAGACATGGTGATCATCTACTTGTCCTCGGGCATCACATCTCGGGAGTCTTCAGAGCAGGAGAAGAGGGCGACGCTGAGTGTGGTCCGGGAAGAGAACCGTCTCCTCAACAACTCCGTCATGATCCTCACCTACGCTCTCATGAACGGTGAGTCAAGCAAAGAAGACCAAACCCAATGTATTTGCCCTATAAGTTCACTTCCCACGACATAAACAAGTTTAAAGGTGCAATGTGTAACTTTTCTGATGGAGGGTCGTCAAATACTTTTCTCCGTGGAGATGTTATTGCTTTGTCTGGAATGTTTCACAGTATGGTATTAAACCTTTCTATCTTCATGGAGACCAAACCAGACCAAGTTACGAGTCAGATCTATGGAGCAGCAACCCCACTCACAGCCAGAGCATCAGAGTCAGATTTTTGAGCTATAAACCACCTATAATGGAATAAATGTGAGGTGGAGCTGTTTAATGTAATACTGTGGAACATTTTAAGCAGAGCAATGACATATCCACAGAAACAAGCAGGTGATGGACCCTCCATCAGAAAAGTTATACAATGCACCTTTAAGATTTTACTAAAATTCTTGCTTAGTTTCTTCTAGTTTTTTAGTTTTGGTGAAGTTTATACATTTACTTCCTAGTTGGACACACGTGGCAGATATGACAAGACGTGAGTTTCTAAGATCAAAACTGGTTCACCCAAAAAACAAAACCCCAAGCCACAAACAAAGCAGTGTGGTCTACTTCATTCAGTGTAGTGTAGACTGCAGTGAGTGTTATTTTGGAGAAACAAAACAGCCAGTCCATAAGAGAATGTACCAACACAGACGATGGAGCAACACGGGACCCCAGTCTGCGGTACAATGCCACCTAAAAGCCACAAACCGCTCCTTTGAGAAATGGTTTGAGAGGGGAGATTAAAAAGTCGATTTTTGTTAGGAAAGACAGTCCATCTTTGAACGGGAATGCAAGACTTAGACATAAGTTATCTCTGTATAACTCCATCCTCAGACGTAAATCAAAAAGAAAACAAAACAGCAGTAATTGCCAGTATTCTAATAAGCAGCACCTATTAGGGAGGGGTATGAGCGATTATGCTAATATGACTCTGACTGTACACAAGTAGGTATGTTAGTTTCAGAGTAGTTTCAGTGTAGTTAGCTCCTCCCTTCAGACAGATATAAAATTCTAAGTTCTAATTCTAAGAGTTTTTCTTTTCCCATAACTGAAAAAATGCCTTCCTTGTGTGTGAATTCTTCCTGCATTTTTAATACCATCCCACCAAACCAAGTAATAATTAGAAAAACCTGTAAACCTGTCATATGTACTTAAAGTTAAAGTGAGCTAGAGGCCATGGCTGAATACTATATTGGATTTTGCAGTTTTAACAAAATGCAGATGTTTGGACTTGGTTTATTGTTAATATATTTTTAATTGCTGGACCCACATGGAAACTGGCACCAAGTACAAAGTATTCTCTGTTGGCACAAATAAATTTAAATACATTTTCTTCTCTATAGAGGCAAAAAATGGCGCGTAAACCAGTCACAAAAGGCTACATAATTAATAGCACATTTATGGACCAAATCCCGAACCAAAATTATGAGGTTCAACATCTTCCAATTTTCAAAAGCAGTCACAGTTGGTTAGATCACAGCTTGCAGATATCTTGTTTAAACTTTTTAGCAGTTTCATATTTTACAGTTGTATTTCATTATGGTTTTCATAACAGTTATGATTTGACTTTGTAGGGGTTTAGTTCTGTATCCAGAAAGCCTAGAGGAAAATGGAGTGCTTAGTGTCTGACTATCCAACCATGTCCTGTGGTTACCAATGACTGGAAATAAGCAGTTTTGTATAGTTTCATGGTGTCATTTCTATATTTATCTGATCAAACTGATTTATGTGAAAAAATAAAACATCATCTTAAATGATTTTTGTTATTTAAATTGAATAAACACAGCTAATTAATTACACAATATCGCTGAAAGATGGATTGTGTAACTTTTCTGGTGGTTGGACAATCACCTGATTGTTTCAATGGATATGTCATTGCTCTACCTGGAATGTTCCACAGTATGACATTAAACAGCTTTACTTATCATTTATTTAATTTATAGCTCAAAAATACCTCAAAAAACAGGCATTCTGACTGTGAGTGGGATTGCCTCTCCACAGAACTGACCGGTAACTTGGTCTGGTTTGTTCTCCATGAAGATCTTTAATGCGATACTGTGAAACCTTCCAGACAAAGCAAGAACATCTCCATTAAGAAAAGCATTTGACAGACCCTCCACCAGAAAAGTTACACAATGCACCTTTAATTACAATTATTGCAGTGCATTTAGAAGATTGCTAGTAATTATTTAGATTCTTTGTTGTCTTATTTAGGTGTCTGATGCCCCACCAGAGAAGTTACCCAGTGCAACTTTAATATCTTGTTTGTTTTTTAATCTTCACATAATAATAATTGGACCTTATTTTGAAAATCCATCAGATATTTGCTCAAATGTCCCTGTGCATTGGTTGAGGTTAAAGTATTGCACAAAAAGTGAATAGATTTGAAATGTACTACAAAACAACATATAGGCCTGTTTTTTTTGAAGGTTTAATTCAAAATGCTGCACCTTTACAGCTTCAAGGTGCATTGTGTAACTTTCCTGGTAGAGTCAAAATGCTTTTCTCCTTGAGGATGTTATTGCTTTGTCTGGAATGTTTCACAGTATGGGATTAAACCTTTTTTCTTCACTGAGACCAAACCAGGCCAGGTTACAGCTCAGATCTGTGGAGAGGCAACCCCCGCTTTCTCTGTATTTTTGAGCTATAAAACCACCTGTAATTGAATAAATGTAAGATAGAACTGTTTAATGACATACTGCGGAACATTCCAGGCAGAACAATGATATATCTGTAGAAACAAGCAGGTGATGGGCCCCCAACCCAAAAGTTACATCGTGCTCATTTAAATTTTATCATATAGTATAAAAAAATAACCAAAAATTTCCTAGTAGTGCAAAGAAAAAGTACCCACAATAAATATTAACCCCAAAAATATATTGTTCCAGTTTTCATATATTGAAGTTGATTAAGTAATGATCGTGACGGGCTTACCAACATACCTAATTAATTACACAATATCTCTTAATTACACTTATTGCAGTACGTATAGAAGATTGGTAGTAATTATTTAGCCTCTTTGTTGGCCATCATTTCTTCGACACAAAGCGCAAAGGGCTAGAGAGGTGCTCCAGCTACCTCAAAGGCTTTTGTTTGTTGTATATTTGCACGCACTGGCTTCAAGTGTGTATGCCTCTCTATTCGCTTTTATTATCCCAGTCCAGCCATCTGCCTCTCCCAACTCCCTCCCCTCTCCACTGTGCCCGCAATGTCCACTGTTAATATAAATGATTTTTGCATCAGAAAATGGAAATGAGCTACATCTAAGGGAGAGTGAGACTTCAAAGCAGGCAGCGCTGTCTGTTTGTGACTGACAGAGGACCTGGTCTGCTTAAAAAGGCTCTATGATGAAAAGGATGCCGAAATCTGCTGTCCTTTGAGTTTATTTGAATTGCATATCCAAAATAACATTTGTTTGGGTGCAGACGCAGTGCACAGCTCCAGGGGGCGCCGTAATTGTGTATGTCCTGTTTCCCTTCATTCCTGCCAAATCTGTCCTGATTGTTCAAAGAGGCCACTAGTCCCAAAGCACTACAGGGTTTTAGCTTTTGTACCTTACATGCATTTTAATGTTATTTTGTTTAGACAAAAAAAAAACAACAACTATTTACAGTTAACTCTAAAGGTCCTAAATGACACAAAATAGATTATTGTGAGCTTTAAGTCATGTTATAATGCTGTTACCTCATCAAAAACATACCTGGAGTTGTGTTTTGTTTCACTGACACGTTTGAGTAACCCTTTATTATTAGTCTGTCTATGGCGACGTGTACACTGAAAAGAATCACCGTATCACCGTATCAGAAACGATTTGCATGCAGACACGTTGTTTCTGTGTCTGCAATCATTCCCTATCCACACAGCTTTAAGCATATTTGTTTACGTTTTACAGAAACAAAATTTAAAACCACATGGCTAATTTGCATAAACTGAGCTTATAAACAGCTCAATAGTGTGCACTGATGCGGTTCAGCTTCTGTCAGACTAAATGACATGGCTCAGTGAAATACATGTGTTCTTTCTGTGACAGAGGGGTGTTCTGCTAATGGTGAGTCTGTTCTGTGCTTCTATCGAGTTGGAGATGGTTCATGTTAAACTTTTCAGAGATTATACATCTCCACATACGCATATATTCTAGCCTCTTAGCGTTTTGGCGGTGAAATACTTCACGGCATATAGACCTACATCAGTACATCAGCGTTTTCAGGTGTCCACACAGAACTGGATCAGATCTGTACTCAGATGAATTCGTGGGAGCTGACGGCACCAGATCGTTCCGTCTCTGGAGCCGTTTCCCATCAGATTAGTGTGAACGAACACTGATTCTGCAACAAAAACGACTCGAATACATGCTAGTGTGGATGGGGCCTGAGATCAAAATGCTCAATTCCACCTTGTGATGTCATGTAGTGGTAGTTTACAAGTGAACAGCTACCTTTTACCTTTTGTTCAGCAGAGACTGACAATTCCAGGATTGAAATAAATTATCCAAATGATTCCAGTGAAGGTGTATGGAGTTTAAAAAAACGGTGGAGCACTTCCTGTATTGCCACATGTCATCACAAGGTGGAACACAGTGTTTTCAGTTTCAGAGTTTGAGAGAAGAACTCAGCTTAAATATGCAGGATTTGTGTGAAAGAAACAAAACACAACTCCAGGTATGTTTTTGATGAGGAGACAAAATTACAACATAAAGCAGAAAATAGGGTAATATTAGCCCTTTAAAGCTGTCTTAATGATGTTTCTATAACATATTCAGCAGTTTAAAGTTAGTTTACCAGAACATAACTCATAACTCATATAAATTCATAGCATTGTAATGGTAGTATTATTTTAACCACAGAGAAAATCCTATAACTGTCGCTCATTTGTATTCACCTTGTACTGGCGAATAAACAAACATGCGAGCAGTATGTGATCATGTGACTGTAGCTCCCATCAGTGGCCTGGTCTGTTGATCACTAAAGCAAAGCCCGGGCATTAAACAGGGATTGCGCTATAATCCTTTGAATGACTACACACTACAGGCAAAAGACAGCTGTACGGGCAGTCCTAGTTACACCCTCTCCTCTATATGACCCCTACGCTGTCAAAGTCAAATTCCTCCTGTGTTTGCGTTTCTGTATTATCTATTTAGGCCGCAAGATTAATCGCAATCTAATCGAAATCTCTGTTTGAATGGATGAAAAGGATGCAATCTTTAAAGGTGCTTTGTGCAACTTTTTTGGTGGAGGGGCCTCCAAATGCTTTTCTTCATGGAGATGTTATTGCTTTGTCTGGAACGCTTCACAGTAAACCTTTCTATTACCATGGAGACCAAACCGGACCAACTTACAGGACAGATCTGTGGTGAGGCAAGCCTGCTCACAGTCAGAATGCCTGTTTTTCTAGGTATTTTTAAGCAATAAAACCACCTGTAATTGAATAAATATAAAGTAGATGTTTAATATCATACTGTGGAACATTTTAACAAGCAGGTGACCGAAAAGTTACACAACGCACCTTTAAAGTACCATAATTTCCTCCACAAACATTAAAACCTCCTGTCTTATTCTCCATAAAATCTCCTAACACTGTACTTCAGATCTGTACAAACATGTTCTGAAATGTTTCGTGTATTAGTTTGCCAGTTCATATTTCAGCCTTTTTTGTCAATTCTTCTGTTTAAAATGCGAACTTTGAACAGAATCCAAGCATTAAAACATAAATTACAAATCATATCGCAATGCTTGTCAGACAGACCATTCAGCCTTAATTATTTCCGTGCTTTAGTTTCTTTAAACCAATGATAGATTCACTTATATTGTGATCCCTGTGTTAGATTTTTGACAGTTGGGAGCAGGATTGAGCAATAAAAGCCTTTTCGGTTCATCACATACTAACACAAGTTTGAGCATGTGACATTATATTTAATAGAATGACCGCCCCAGTATCCATTCATGCTTTGTGTACTACTGTCTATAATGGACATAATAAGACAACGATTTACACTTTAAATAGCCATAATTTAATTTTATTTCCACAACTAACTTTTCATTTAGTTTAATGTCTTTAATTTGCAGTCTTCTTCTCAAAAGTAAATATCTACTGACTCACACCTTTGGTCAACCACTCCCCTGTTTTGGTGCCCTGTTATTATCACTTATGGGAAGAGTTGTGAATACTGTGGGTGCATGTTTTTCCAATTATCAGAATATAGTTTTGAATTGCAAAATGAATTTAGAGACGTTTCTTACTCATGAATTCTGAATACCATAAAATAAGTATTGTCTATTCACACATGCCAAGCCCCAGTCTGTAATATTTTAGCCAATGAATAGATTATAAATTATAGATTTATTTTTATTTTTTTTTCCATTCTGGCTGTGATATAATGTGTTATTGCACAGAAAAACATGCATCCTTACTCTGAGTGGGCTTGCATCTCCATAAATCTGACTCTTATTTGGGCTGGAGAAGTGCCTCCTCCTGCTTGTTTCCAAAAAATGTAGTTCATTTGGCTATAATAAATAATAAATATGACTGTCTGTGAAATAATGTCAAAATATACCTATGACCGAAATAAATAAATAAATAATCTTCCACAGTATACTGCAAAACATATCTGCATATCTCATAATCGGAATACTAAGCATAAAGTAGTTTTTGTGTGTTTTTGTCTGTTTTATTCGTGAAACGTCGTATAAATGAACTTACAGTACAAATCTTGGCTCTACCCACCTCTGGCTATGGATTCCATGTAATAAATTGTGCTTATTAACCCAAACAAGCTCAGTCATCCTCCCTAAATCCTGTGTTTTTCTTTTCCAGAGGGAGTAACAGGTCTGAAGGAGTTGGCCTTCCTCAGAGACTTGGCTGAGCAGAACTCGGTGAAATACGGCATGGACCGGACGTTTGAGCGGGAGAGGTTTTTGGCAGCGTCGTCGTCAGGGTCGGTGGGTGGGGCCATGATGCCGGTCGTCAAGGGGAGCATGATGGTGCTGAATCAGCTCAGTAATTTGGAGACCACAGTGGGGCGGTTCTACATCAACTTACCCAACCGAATGATAGACCTGGCCCGCTTCAGCCTGCCCTACTCTGACCCTATGGGAGATGGTGAGTGAGCTAATCTTTCATGGCATCTGCTCTATATTTCCACTTTTGCAGGTTTGTAGGCACTGTTGGGTAAGTTACTTAAAAACTGTAATGCGTTATTTATGACTTGTTACTGTCATTTCAAAGTAATTTGATCAGGACTAAACCAGGACTAAACCAGATCTGAACCAGGACTGAACCAGGACTGAACCAGGACTGAACCAGGACTGAACCAGGACTGAACCAGATCTAAACCAGGACCAAACCGGGACTAATCTTGGACTAGGACTGGTAATCTAGGACCGCCCCTGAGAGAACCCCGAGCCCATGGAGCTGGGTGTCCTCAAAGCATGATCGGACGTCAGCTGTGATTAGCCCTGTGGAGTGTGGAGCTCTGCGCTGGTCCTTTCACCTGTGGTTACCTGACAGTCTACACGGGCGCACCTCTGGGCCTGTCCCGACATTCAGAACCTTAATGATGGTGTTTCACCACTGCTATCGCGGTGATTTCAGAGAATTTGTTTGAAGAAAAACAAAAAACCCACCACTTCAATCCAGGTTAAAAATGCATTGTGACGAGCATTACTGACAAGTAAAATATTATTTTTTTTCCCTGTAATGCCTTACATTACTGCGTTACAGCAAAAAGCAACACATTACAGTCATTTGTTACTTTTATAATGTGTTACTCCCAACACTGTTTGTAGGGTTATGCTTAAGGTTAGGGCCTGGGCTTGAGATTATGATTTAAATTAGAGAATTAGGTCTTATGTCACACAAATTTACCCTTTTGAGATTTAAGCCATTTGATTCACCTGATTTGTGTTTTGTTTCATTCACACATGTTTGAGTAACCCTTTATTGTTACACTGGCTACATCTCCAAAGCTCAAAATGCTCTGTTCCACCTTGTGATGTCATGAAGCGGTAGTTTGAAAGCTACAACTACATAGAGATGGGGAATTCCTGGTCTGAACAGAGTGTTTTCTGTTTGAGAGGCCTAAATATACAGAGTGTGTGTGATTTAACATGTTAAATGAAAAAAAAATACACAACTCCAGGTATATTTTGATGAGGAAACAACATTATAAAATAGACCAAATAATTGCGTAATATGGGCCCTTTAAATCTGAGAAAACAAAACTTTGGGAACATAGAACTGTAGAAACATGTGTACGCTTGCCAAAAGAGGTCAAAATATTCTTTCAAAGTTCAAGCTTGCAAACGGCAAGAATCATTTGACACCTGGCTTAACAAAATTGAAATCATAACATTCTATGAAAAACTGTCAAAAACTAAATTGCAGTACAGGTAATTCGTACTAACCTCGTATTGTATGTTTTTCCAGGGTTTATTATGACCGTGAGCCGGCCCTGTTACTTTGGAAACCTGCTTTTGGGCGTGGTCGGAGTGGATGTCAACCTGGCTTACATTTTGGAGGATGTCACCTATTATCAAGACTCCCTGGCCTCATACACCTTCCTCATAGACAACAAAGGTACGCTCCCAATGACTTAAACAAAAGACTCGCTTAATCTAATATATCAGTGCTAATATTGAAATAGATGAGAAAGGACTAGCTCATCATTCTTTCATTCGACAGCCCCAACTGTCTCAGAATAGAGTGAAAATAATAATCCAGTGTGCAGTCAATTGCATATTTTGGCATAATTCTAAACGCCAAATGTCCTTAAATGAATCCGATTTTTGCATGAACAATTTTACAGATGTTGTTTCTTACACTTTCACACATGTTTTCTTCATGTGCATACTACACTTATTACACCTATTACAAAAACACATGTTCTCAACACCCACTGCTATAATTCAGGGTTAGCTGTTAAAAGACCACCCAGATCTCACACCTCTGTGACTTTAGGCTGTCTACAGACTGTAACGTTTGAGGTCACGGAGTAAACAGATGCACACAAATGTAGGTTGGCTTTTGTACATTTTAAGATGTATGTTAGGGAAAATAATTGTTGTCCTCATGAGTTCTAGAGTTGTACAGAGAGACCGAGACTCTGGAGTCTGAGGCAGGAGAAGTTTTTTTTTACCATTCGTCCAGGACCTGGTGACTTGAATACTCAACAATGCGCATTAGTATTGGCTATTCAAGCCTGACTATGCTTCCACACAAGGAGGTTTAAATAGGAGCTAAAAAGAACAGTTTGGAGACAAGCTACCCTAGATAAAATGAATAGTGCATAACATACCACTTCTGAGTTGACCAAGGAAACTGATAATGATAATGTTAAAAGAAGAACAAATTCTGTAATAGTTGGATGACTCCGTAAGTCTTGTTTCCATAAGCCGGTACACAATTTTTAAGGGTCCCAAGCTGGAGGTACTACCTTCCAGGGGGTCTGGCACAAGTAGGACCCGGGACCTCCACGCAGTCAATGGAGGATCAGCAGCATGCCAGTTGTGGTACACGATAGTGTAAATAGTACAAACCTCATAACTGGATTAGCCAATCAAGGACACGCATGGCCTGTTTGTACAAAAACAAATATGGCATCTTGTGAGCAAAGGAATAAAAAATATCTGAGAAGAGAGGCTGAAAAACCACAGATCACAGATTTCTGTAGAATCAGTGAGTGAAGCACTGAACTCTGTTAAATCAGATGTGAGAGAAATGTCATTTTGTTTGTAAAAGATAGATGACGAATGAGCTCCTTCAGTTCACATTTGTCAATAAACAATAAACAAATGTGAGTGCACAAACATGTTTGAACGGGCTCCAGGGTGTGGGGACCAGACTGACTCAGTCTGTATACAAAATCTGAATTTGTCAGGCAAGATTGACTCAAACCAACCATAGTCTTATATTTTATGTCTTATGTTTTAAAGCCCTTTCAACTGTCAACAGTCACATCTTTGGGGTTGAGTAATTAGGATGAATATTTTGTTTATGTTTGTGTAGTTTAAGGTAATCACAGTTTAGTTCTGTCTAGATTCCCAGCAAATGTTTTCATGCACATCAGTTGTCATTTGGTGGGAACAGGTTTGTGTGGGATTAGCCTCAAGTAACAGAGATCATGTGATACCTGTAGTTAAAAAACAAAACAAAAACTGAATTACTTTTGATTGAAGTATTATCCCCCAATTGGTGCGAATTGAATAGACTTGAATGGATAGAAATGAAGTAGGTGGACTGGTTTTCCTGCTTTAATCTTTTGTTTTGTTCCATTGGTTCTCAGTATATTGTGGACAGTTTGTATTAAGGGTGAGGGCTGAACAATTCTGGAAAAAAATCATTACAAGCATTGCAAAAAGAACACTTCCTTTTGGGCTGATTTGTTTCTTATATGCATAACGTTTATTGTTTTATATTCATTTTGCTTGTATGTTTTGCATTTTTCCCAGGTTACACTTTGATGCATCCCTCCCTGATTCGGCCCTACCTCATGACGGAGCCTCCACTGCACACGGACATCATCCACTACGAGAATATCCCCGGATTCCCTGCAGTTCGACAGAATATTCTCAGGTAAAGAAAAAAAAAAAGAAAGATTAAAGGGGCTGTAGCTGATTATTAGTCTTTAAATTGTGAAAAAAAAAAAGAACCTGAACTGGATCATTTTAAGTAGTTTGCAGTTTTCAACTTTTAGATGCCAGAGTGGAGTTTTGCCATCTTAACTAAAGCAACTAGTATGCTAATAGAGCACTTCATGATTCTTAAACAGATGCATAGAGTACAGAGTGGTCTCATTTTGCCCTCAAGAGATGCTTTTTACTATATATGTATTTATGTACTATGTATTATGTACATAGAAAAACATAACTTATAAACGATTATTTAATTTATTTTATCATTATTATAATTTTTTTAATCAGTGATGTTTTTTGTTGTTTAGCCTCCCTTTGGGCAGTCAGATCATCGCTGTACCAGTCAACTCCTCCCTGTCCTGGCACATGAACAGACTGAGAGACAACAGTAAAGATGCCTACAATGTCAGCTATGCCTGGAAACTTGTAAGTCCTATTTCACCTCACACAGGCAAACTTTACTTGTTAAAGCATACATCCTGCTCAAATGAACACTAGGCCTGCAATGTAGTTTTCTGAAACAGCTTTTAAGACTTCACCTTAATAGTCTTTTTAACTTTTAAATTCATAGTGAACAAAAGATTTAAACTGCTTATAATGATTTACGCCACTTACCCAATTCCCCTCATCATTCCCCATCTTGAATCAGAGCCCAATTTGCATCAATCATGCTAGTGGACATTATTTTATTCACCAGAAACGGTTAAAAATTGTATCTGTCCATTTAAACCTTACTTCACCCATTTATTTAAGTTAAAGGTGCATTCTGTAACTTTTCAAATGCCTTGTCAGATGCTTTTCTCCATAAAGATGTTATTCCTTTGTCTGGAATGTTTCACAGTATGACATTAAACTTTTCTATTTTCATAGAGATTAAACCAGGCCAAGTTACAGGTCAGATCTATGGAGAGGCAACCGCTCTCACAGTCAGAAGGCCTGTTTTTTTATGTACTTTGAGGTATAATAACACCTGTAATTAAATAAATGTAAGATAGAACTGTTTAATGTCTTACTGTGGAACATTCCAGGTAGAGCAATCGCATCTATACAAGCAGGTGACAAACCCCCAAACCCTCAAAGTTACGCAGTGCACCTTTAAATATTACATAGACATCAATTGGCCTCAATGTTTCTCTGTACTGATCTGATTTGCTCGAGCTTTTTTAGTAGTTAAATCACCCCTGACGCCCCTAACCCCTTAATTAGGTAATTACAAGGACTTAACTAATACCCAAACCATAACTCCTAACTCTAATGCCTTTTATTAGCCTGAATCATTCTTAACTATAATTTAAGTGTAACCACAAAATAGAATAATTGTAGTTTTCCACACTAAGGTTTTGTTGACAGTATTTCCTAAACTGTGACCTTTCTGCTTGAGGATTTGTAAATGTTGGAGTAAAAACAGCTCCTTTCACTTAGACTTATCAGGAGCCCATAAAACACCAAAAGTGATGTGTAACTAAAACAGTAGGGGAACGGGAACGCTGGGAGTATGTGCTGTGCAATGTCACTGTCAGTGAACTCTGACCCTGAAAAATATGAAGTTATTATAACCGTTCTGGATACAGCAAGGGCTTGACCTTAACACAAACCAACCAGTCAAATGCTGGGAAAGAGCCATTTTGGTTTCTTATTAGAGTGCACAGATCCAGGTTTTTCTGTTCCAATACAGATTTTGGCTTCAAGTATTTGCTGATACTGAATATTAACTGATGTTGGGCAGAGACTGAAAATATAATGTATTTTCTTTTAAACACAAACAGCCTGAGGTAAAAACATATATCCAAATGTGTTTTGTAACTACAGAACAGCATTATAAAAATGCAAGTTTAACATTAGGACTTCTGGACCAACATTGACTAGTAAATGTAATTATTATACCAATTTATAGACAAAATGTTCAGTTTTTATAAATGTTGAATTGGTAAAACTCTGTCCTACCTCAGCTCACTCCTGCACATCCACAGCTCCAGCCGCACACTGTGCTCCAACAGATACATAACCCTGGTCGTTCCTAAAGCCTGCACAACTTTGGACCGTTCCTCATTTCAGTTTTCTGCAGCAACTGACTGGAACCACCTTCAACAGACTTTAAAACTTAGTTTGTTTTTAAATCTGTCGACTTTGAAAAATTCCATCCAGGGTATTTTACAGGATAATTGCATATTTTTAACTCTTTTATATCTTTAATCTCCAGTTGTTTCACTGTCTTAAATAAAATTTCATGTTATAGTTGAAGTGTGAGTGTTTTGTGTTTGTGCTTTTGTTTTATTCTGCCTCTTGGCCAGGTCGTCATTGTAAATGAGAAGGTGTTCTCAACTTACTTACCTGGTAAAATATTGAATAAATAAAATAAAAATATTGGCACTGATATCTGATACCAGTATCATAATGGTACATCAAATGCAGAGTGAATTTCCTTAATGATGGATTGATAAAGTGTACCTTACCTTACATTATTGAGAATTGACAGTTTTTACTACAAAAACAGAAATATTAGTTTCAGGCCCTGCATACAACATTGGGCATGTCAGTGTATAATTTCTTAACCTTTCCAGCCTTTTACCTTTTGCTGAGTCTTGTGTTGTGTTTGGTACAGGTCCAGGACACCTCGTTCATCTTGTGTATAGTGTACGTTCAGCCTGAGATCCCAGTGAAACAGCTGAAAAACCTGAACACTGCTCCCAGCTCCAAACTGCTCTACCACCGTCTGGACCTCCTCGGACAGCCCAGCTCCTGCCTGCACTTTAAACAGCTCGCCACTGTTGGTAAGAAACAGAAGAAGTGGCACCATCACAGTATTTATGTATTCTGTAAAGTTGTGGTTGTGCAAGAGCCATTCATCCATCAGAGTTTACCTTTTCTCTTGAAGATTAGGTTTACTAGCACTTTCCTATATATGTTGTCATTTGTGGTAAGATTCTATTCATTGTGAGAACTTAATCAATACACAGGGAAGGTCTTTACATACACACAAAAGTCTTATGCCAGTATATGTCTCTACTGTACAACACCAGTGGAACTATTTATTTAGTTTTGCCTGATTCTATTTTCTAACTATATTGATTGAACTTTAATGAAAGTGAAGTGTGAAAGTGTGTTTTTCCATTCAGCTAATACAAATACAGTTTTTTTATTTTTTATAGGGACATGTTGTTGTACCTGTTGTTTCGCTCTCTACAAACCTTTTCTGAAATGCATGGGATTTTTGTATTTATTTTTCTCAAGTGTGTGAATACTTCTGGGGTTGTTTACAGTGCGTATTTTGAACAGAATCTTACTTTTGAATGTATTGCAAATATAATCACAACACTTGTCAGAAAAACTGTTAGACTTTCTTTCCAAAACTGTGCAGCCGTAGTTGCAGAAGAACAAAGCACATGTCACCTAATTATTTTTTAACCTGCAGCACTTCTCAGCCCCTCTAACTCTCTGCTTTCACTTTCGCTCCTCAGAGTCTCCCACTGTGATGTTGGCAGCAGGTAGTTTCTCCTCTCCGTACGAGCACCTGAGCCAGCCTGAGACCAAGAGGATGGTGGAGCACTACACGGCCTATTTGAGTGACAACACGAGACTCATCGCCAATCCCGGCCTCAAGGTACGCAAACCTGGCAACCCCGAGTCCGCCAACCGCAAGAGCCTGAGGGGAGTCATCAAGGTTAAATGGTGTTTACCTGGGAAAGAACATATCCGGTTACACTATTTCGTTAGTCACGCATGGAAGTGTTTATGTTTACTCTGTCACCATGGAGAATAGGAGCGAAATAAATAAAATTAATACAAATATATTTGCAATAGTGTTTTTTTAGTATATTGTCCATAATAACAACTAAAAGCAACTAGGAAATCTGGTAAAAAATGAAGAAATAAATCAAACTTGCAGTCTAATCTTTCAAATATTATTCAAAGTATAAGGTAATATTTCTGCACTTGTTAAAGGTGCTATGTGTAACTTTTCTGGTGGAAGGTCTGCTACCTTCTTGTCTCCATGGAGATGTTATTGCTCTGTTTGGAATATTCCAGCGTATGGCATTACACAAGCATGTTACACCACAACGCCAACTAGGCAGATCTGTGAAGAGGCGACTACAGGAATGTACATTTTTGAACAATAAATACACAAGTAATTGAGTAAATGTCGTACTATGGAGCATTTCCGGCAAAGCAAGAACATCTCCATGGAGACAAGCAGATAGCAAAATGTCATGGTGCTCCTTTTGTGTGATACTCAACTCATATCACCTTTACCAGCACATTTTGGAATTTATTTTAATGTATTATTAGAATTTAATCATGTGGATATATATATATATATATATATATATATATATATATATATATATATATATATATATATATATATATATATATATATATATATATATATATATATTATATATATATATATATATATATATATATATATATATATATATATATATATAGTATATATATATATATATATATATATATATATATATATATATATATATATATATATATATATATATAGCTATATTTGTTGTCAGTACCACCTGTCCAGAGTAAAATGTGTCAGATGTTCTTCTCTTTCTTCTTGACTACATCTGGCCAACTTATTTACAGGATATCTTGGCCACTCTGATGAAAACTAATTATCACTCTGGCTAAATCAAGGTCCCTTTTAAGAGTGGGACAGCCCCGTGTGGTGGAGCTGGCTGTGTGTGTGCATTCCTGTCCCTCGGGGGTAGCAGGAGGTTAGAGTTGAAGCCACAAACCCATGTCCCCAGCTCCCATTCCCAGGGCTCTCTTAAAGGCCCCCTCCAGTGACCCCTCACCCCTCTCAAACTTGGACGCTGTTCTGAAAATGGTACCGAGATGTGATTTTTCAAGGCTGTGGAGGTTCTTTGAGTTCCATGCATTCCTAATTTTTGGGTTTAAGAGCTTTGTTGTTTTGATGTAGTTCTTGTCTAGATCTTTCTTTAAAAAAATGAACTCTGGAATGAATTCTGGAACAGTCACATCATTGGGGTTGGCATCAAAATCCACTATTTCTGTGGCAGTAGAGCAAATGCAAGAGATGCACTATTTCTGTGGCAATAGTGCTAGAGACGCACTAGTGAAAACATAATTAAAAAGCTGTGGAACAAGCCTCTAATTTGCAGTTATCCTTTTATAGTGTTATGATACTTTTGAATGAACATCACATTTAGTATTTTGCTTTTTAAGATCTCCAGTGGTTTACCATTTGACTAACTGAAAATTCTATAATATGAACAACTAACACTTTGTTGAACTAGTTTTAAGTTTAGATTTTACTGGATACAGAAAAATTAATAAGAAGATACGGAATATCATGTCTATAAAACATTGCAAAGGAGAAATTCAATTCAGTCAACTGGAAAAACTTTTTATGATCGAAAATGTTTCCCGGCTCATCCAAGCTGCTTCTTTAGTTCTGGTCAGGCGCTGGTAGTAACTGCCTCATATCTGCCTGAAGGGAGGAGCGAAATTACACTGAAACTACTCTGAAACTAGCACACCCACTTCTTTCCAGTTTCTGTTAGTGCAGTTCAATAAACTTAGCTAAGTGGGAACAGTGCCCGAGTCATATTATCGATCAAAAAACTTTTGTCCACCTGACAGTATTGAATTTCTCCTTTGCTATGGATCCTACCTGGATGACTGAGGGATTACACAAACATGTCTATAAAAGTTTAAACATGGTGTGTGCTCTGTGTGTGTCTTGATTCAATTTCACTTAAAGCCAACTTCAGTATCTCCAAACTCTTTAAATCATCATATTTTTATCAGTTGTCTCTAAACTTTGTCTCTCTTGTGTCTCCTTTCTGCAGTCCTCTGTCAGGAACGAGGTAATGGCGACTAGTCACGTCACGGATGAGTGGATGACATTAATGGAAATGAGTAGCCTCAACTGCTACATTGTGCGTCGTTACATAGCAACGCCCAGTGGGGTGCTCCGGATTTACCCAGGATCCCTCATGGACAAAGCCTTCGACCCCACCCGCAGACAATGGTGAGCCCCACTTTGGAGAGAGTGAAGTGAAGGAGGAGAGGGGGGAGTGTGGCCGTGTGGTTTTCAGAGGAGGTTTGAAGTGCATATGACTGTTTTTTTATTATTTCTGTTGCTTTGTTTGGTGAGATAGTACCTGTGGAAAATATTTATTACAGTTTTACATCAGTTAGTTAGGGAAAAAGTTGAAAAAAGCCAAGAAGAAAAGTAAAAAATTGCAAGAAGTAGCACTGTGTTAAAAAATGGAACACCTCTACTTTTGTCATCAACACAGAAAATTCCATGGAAAATGCAGTGGCCAAATTACACAAAGAACACATTTTTCTATCAGTTTAAACATGCATTCAAAACAATAAAAGTGTTCTCTCATATATTTTTGTTAATCTAATCATAGCTATTGTACAATTTAGGGCAGGTTGTGGTCCCGGTTAACACCTCCAGTGTGAAAATTGAGTTACTTGATATAACCGTACCACCTTGAGAATGCCTGATCTCATCTCATGATCTCAGAAGTTAAGCAGAGCAGGGGCTGCAAGTACTTGGATGGGAGACCTGTGGGAATACCAGGGGCCACAGTGGGCCAGCAGGGGTACTGTAAAGTGCTTACAGTTGTTGTGGTCTTAGGCATTACACATCACCCAGATTTGCCAAGTATAAGTGCAGCATGTGCTTAAGTGAATGATGGTGGTCGGAGAGGCTGATGGTGCAGATTAGCAGCCATGGCTACAGAAATTAGAACTGGGTATCATTAAGAAGTTGCTGATACGATACATTCCTCAATACATAGGCTACGATACGTCATATATCTCAATACAGTGATCTTATGATTCAATATGATATGTTTTAAATTGATTGATGGTTAAAAAAAAAAAGAAAGCTAAATCATTGCTGTAACACTTAAAGTCTTTGTTAAACCACTTCTTGTGCAAAGTTCATATGAAACACACATTTTAATAATCAAAACAGTAAAAATGTGTAATGTGTCGCATAAATGAGTTTCCTTCCTCTAAACAAACAACAAAATTGTAGCTCTGTAACAAAATAATTGAGTAAAATATACCCAAAAAATACTTTTTTCGTTTATTGCTTTATTCTTTGCATCTCTTTTGATATTTCCTAAAACTTCTGATCTTTATGTTGTGTCTTGTAGGTACCAGCATGCAGTGGCGAACCCGGGCCTTATCACGTTCACGGGCCCATACCTGGATGTGGGCGGAGCTGGTTATGTGGTCACTATCAGTCACACCATCCACGCCTCCAGGTGAGTGCAGTCTCTCTCCTCTCAGATCCAAGTGTGTTTTTGATCCAAACACTTTGATTACATTGATTAAAGCAAGTATACTCAGACACAACAAGTAGAACTAACCCTCCATCTGATCTATGCAATTTTGTTTTACCGTTTGTATGTAAAATTGCAAATATAATATGTTACTTTACCTACATTGGGAGAGACATACAATAAACATAAACAAGACTAAAGTGGCAAAGGTTGGATTATATGACCACTAAACTGAATATAATGTGTAGGAAAAAAATATTACAACAAAACCTGCAATAAATAGAGCAAATTATGAACAAAATGTATTTATTTGTGGCTGTGTTTCTTACTTTTCTTTTCCACAGTAATCAGATGGCCCCTGGTTACGCAGTGGCAGTGATGGGTATAGACTTCACCCTGCGTTACTTCTATAAGGTGCTTCTGGACCTACTGCCCGTCTGCAACCAGGACAAGGGCAACAAAATCAGGTGAGATATGTTTGAGCTCTTATTATTGACTGTTGTTGTGTCTCTTTAAAGGGGCATTTTGTAACTTTTCTGGTGGAGGGTCTGTCAGATGCTTTTCTCTATGGAGATGTTATTGCTTTGTCTGAAATGTCTCACAGTATGGTGTTAAACCTTAGCCTGATTCATCAGTCGGTTTCACTTCGTGGAAACTGTCTGACCTTGCAGCATTAGGATTTGTTCACTCGACGGTAGGCGGGTACTTTTTTATTTAACCAATCGTTGGTTGTGACGTATGCAAATGCACCAAATTTTGTAGGAAGAAGGGCAATAACATCTTTCCCCTTAATAAAATTCACCAAACATTCTCTTTGTTCCGGTTTTAAATCCTTGATCTCAGGAATCGCTGCCAACACAGAATGTCTGGCTTCATCCATCTCGACCGCTTTGTTTACTGTTGTGCTGTACCACAAATGGGACCCAGACAGACGCTTGAGTTTGACATCATGGCTTCACAGCTCTTCACTGATTGGCCAGTGCGCGATCTACAACTTCTCTTCTTGCAAACCGTCTAGAGTATTCCGATTCACCTAGATGCACTAGGTGGCGCCAGCCTGGCTAATTAACCCTATGTTCATCAAGGCCAAACCAAGCCAAGTCAGAGGTCAGATCTGTGGAGAGGCAACCTCATTCACAGTCAGAATGCCTGTTTTTCTAGGTATTTTTAAGCTATAAAACCACCTGTAAGTGAATAAATGTAAGCTAGAGCTGTTTAATGTCTTACAGTGGAACATTCCAGGCAGTGCAAAGCCGGTGGCAGACCCTCCACCAGAAAAGTTACACAATGCAACTTTTAAATGTGAAATTAAACATTGTATTTAGAGTTATCTGGTGAAGTGGCTTTTATTGTAAAATATTGTAAATATTGTGAAATAATTGTAACAAATTGCGAATCTAAGGTTATACTATGATTTTCTAAGTGAACTACATGTTTTAGGTTCACTTTTCATTCATCATCATTTTTTAAAATACTTACATAATTCTTTTTATATATCCTTACATTTACGGACACATTTCAGTCTGCATTTTATAGATCAGTGTCTCTTAAATATTTGATGAGAAAATATTTGAGCACCAGATCTAAACCTGGTCTATAACCGGACTATTCCAGGTGTTAACTAGACTTAAACCAGGTCTGAAAAGAGAACTATGACTAGTACTGGTAGTTCTAACCAAGAAATTACCCAAAGGAGAGCCAATCGATTTTCAAATGTTTCTAAACTAGAATTCATAAAGAGTAGAGAGTTTTAGCGCCACTGTGACTATCTTTGCAAAATAAATCTCAAACGCACAGAGGCAGAAAATGGAGGGAAAAGTGGAATACAAGATAATCAGATTTCCACGGTGTTGAGCTGCTGATGGGGTCTTGTTCTCCTTCTCTAGTTTTTAAGTCTGTTTTTTTCTATTTTTTTTTCTCCATTCCTCCTCTCCCAGTCCTCCCCCTCCTCCTCCTCTTTCTCTGTGCTTCCTCTTTTCTCTCTCTGTCAGTGTTCAGGGGGCATAAAAAACAGGATTATCTTAAAGGGGAGAGGCGCTGAGGGGCTGTGGGGCAGGTCTTGGCTCAGTCTTAGAACAACCCAGGGTACTTAAAGAGGGTAATACAGCCTGGTGGTAAATGATAGTCTTTTGAATAGGACTGGGCAAAAAAACAACAACACTTTTTTTCCATGTTGAATGATTTTCAATTTAGTTTTTTTGAAATAAAACAAAATTACTTTCATTAGAGATGCACCAATCCATCTTTTTCATTTCCAATACCAATTTTGATACTGTAGCTTTAAGTATCTGCAGATTACCGATATCAACCGATACCAGTGTCAAGTTATTTTATACAAAAAATAAAATAAGACAAAACAAATCCAACTGTGTTATGATCACTACAGAACAATTTTGTATAAGTAAAAATTCAAATGTTATGAGACTTTCTTGACTTTCCAGTGAGTCTTACACATCAATTTATGTGTCCAACCAGGATATCGACTGAACTGATATCGGAAGCCGATATCCGATCCAGCAATTTTTTTCAGTATCAGCACAGTATTGGATCGGTGCATCAATAACTTTTATTAATAATTTCCTGAACATAAGCAATGGATACTTTTAATTGTTGTCATTTAACACAAAAAAACTGTAAAATTTATTCTTTTAAAGTGTGAATTCTGCTCCAAAACTTACTTTTACTCACAGAGGATTGGCTGTAGACACAAACTGACCTAAACTTAATGATTATAAATGACAAAATCTTCATCTAAATTAAAATTTGACTAATTGCACAAAGTTTAATGGTTAAGTTAACGGTGCATTATGTAACTTTTTGGTTGGGGTCCATCACCTGGAAATGTCATTGCTCAGCCTGGAATATTCCACAATATGACATTAAACAGTTCTTCTTTGTGGTTTTATAGCCTAAAAATAACTGGAAAAACAGGCATTCTGACTGTGAGCTTGGTTGCCTCGCCACAGATCTGACCTGTAACTTGGTCTAGTTTGTTCTCCATGAAGCTAGAAAGGCTGTCATACTGTGAAACATTCCAGACAAGGCAATAACATAAAGCATTTAATGGACACTGCACTAGAAAAGTTACACAATTCCCCTTTAATCAAAATACTATCTTTTTGTTTGTGTTGTATAGGTGCTTTATAATGGAGGACAGGGGTTACCTAGTGGCACATCCGACTCTCATTGATCCCAAAGGCCACGCTCCTGCAGAACAACAGCACATCACACACAAGGTAAAAATAACATAAAAATAACATAAATCTTTATACTTTTTCATATATTTTTAAACAGAATTCATATAATCATGTGTCATTTGTGGTTTTGTGTTTGCAGGAGCCGCTGGTAGCTAATGATATTCTGAACCATCCAAACTTTGTGAAGAAAAATCTGTGCAATAGTTTCAGTGACCGCACAGTGCAGCGTTTCTACAAGTTCAACACGAGTATTGTGGTGAGTTCACTCCGAATGTTATGGAAAGGTGAACACTGCCATCTTGTGGTGAGGTGTAGTGTTACAACTCTTACACCGTTCTGGGTAAAATACAATATAGTCAATGGAGAATGTTTTCGAGCAAAGTTTTATTTTTAGAACAGAGTATCTATTTATATTGAATTTTTAAAATCGTATACAGAACAAGGCAATAAATTATATCATTAATACATTTTTATATTGTTATTGGACCATAAAAACTGCTAAATATATTTGCGTGTTCTTTGCTAATAGGCTTGTGCAAAAATATTGAAATATCAACATATATCGTTTAATGTGATGATACAGTATTGATATCGTAGGCTTCTGTATTGATATAATAGTATTTTTTGGCATATTTTACTTAGTTATTTTGTTACAGTGGTACAGTTTTGTTGCTTGTTCAGAAGAGGGAAAGTCATTTATGCAACACTTTTGACATTTTCACTGTTTTAATGACTAAAATGGGAAGTGTTTCATATTAACTTTGCACAAGATCCAAATCCAAATCCACTTTATTTCTATAGCACATTTTACAAACAAAGCAGTTTCCAAAGTGCTGCACAGAGATCATAAAATAAAGACAGCAAAAAGGTAAATTGCTAAAATTTGGTCATACCAGTCCAAAACAATAAAGCCATTAAAATAAAAGCAAAAACCATAAAAATCATAAAATAGCAATAAATAAGTAAAACAAATGAAATAAATAAAATAGATAAAATACACAGAGGACCACACAACTGATGTAGTGTTAAAAGCCAAAGAATTAAAGTGGGTTTTCAGACTGGACTTAAAACACTCCAGAAGTGTTTTTTGGAATCACAGCCATGATTTAACCTTTATTTTTTATTGAACTGTGTTGAATCGATTTGAAATATATCGTACTGAATCATAAGCTCACTGTATTGAGGTATGTATCGTATCGGCAACTTCTGAATGTTACCCAGCCCTATTTGCTAAGTTTCCTTTGGAGCTGAATGACTGTTGTGGAGGAAGATTGACACATATATTTAATGCTATCTTGTGGAACATTCTATATAAAGCAATAACAATCTCTGGGCGACAAGCAGGTGGCAGATCATACACTAGATAGCACCTTCAATCTTCTTCAATTACAACAAAATGACTCAACTTCTTCATGTAAAAGTCTTTTGTGCTCTTCTTTCAGGGGGACCTCACAAACTTGGTCCACGGAAGTCACTGTTCTAAATATCGCCTTACACGGATCCCAGGGACCAACGCTTTCGCTGGGATTGTGAACGAGACCTGTGACTCTCTGGCCTTCTGCGCCTGTAGCACTGTGGACCGCCTCTGCCTTAACTGCCACAGGTTTGTACTTTCCACACTCAAGCGCGTAGGACTATAAGATGAATCACAATCGAATCAAAATCAAACTCAAAGGCTGCACTTTTGGAAGTACAAGAATTTCCTCTTCAAACGGCAAAATATCCTGTAGTTTAGATCTGTACAAACTGTTCTGAAATGTCAGTACGGTACAGCATTTCAGTGTGTTTGTCATTTCTTCTGGATGTGTTTAAAATGTGAACTGTGGACAGAATTCCATTAATAAAACATAAATTGCAAATTACTCAGCCTTACAATCATGTCTTTTGAGCCTTTCGCCAATAGATTGTGATTTTTAAAGAAACTGCCGCTCAAACACTCTCATTTAACATTTAACTACACGTTTACGAGGAACTACTGCAGAGAAGTGATTGTTTTGTGATTTAAGTGATAACATTTACATGGTCAGTAAAAATCAGATAAGAAAAAATAATCAGATAACCCAAGATTTCGATTTGATTTGTAATGTGTTTACATGCACAAAGGAAATCTGATGACAAAAAACTATGATTTTTGGAATAACTGTTGTATTTGGGAAACGACATACAATGAATAATCCTTTAAATCTTTAACATTGGCTTTCATTTTTATGTTGCTGCGTTTGTTTGTCCTTTTTGCATAATTTCCTTTGTTAAACCTTGCACACGTGTGAACCATCAGATCAGATTATTACCAGATTTTTAGAGCTAAAGGACTATTACAATGAAATGTAAACACATAAATAACCCACATTTCTTTCTGATCATGGTTCCTTTGATTACCCACATCATATTTTGCAATTTGTATGTCCTTTAGGTAATTTTAAAGGTCTAGAAATCAGATATTAATCAGATTTTGAGGAGCATGTAGCTGCAGACAGTTTACGTGACATTTCTATAATCTGATAACTTTTTTTTGTGTGTGTCTTGTTTGTGTTTCATTTGTTTATCACACATTCGTTCTGTATAATATAGTATTTTGTGTTATATCTTTTGTAATTTTTTTGTCCCATCTCCTCGTCTTTTATCTGCAACAAAAATATCAAATGAATAAATAATAATAATGTGATAACTTCAGAAATCCAGAAATGATCAGATGTTTGCTATGTCAACATGTCAACAGCCAGTGTGTCTGATTGTTTCATTTTTTTTTTTTTCCAGAATGGAGCAGAATGAGTGTGAATGTCCATGTGAGTGCCCCCTGGAGGTCAATGAATGTACCGGCAACCTCACCAATGCTGAGAACAGGTTAGTGGAATTTGTCTGTTACTTTCAATAAAAAAATGCAGGTACTTGTGCTCAAATATTGTCATCATAATACATTCATAAATTCTCCTGTCACTTCCTCAGTAATCCATTTTCAGAAAGGTTAACAGCAGTTTGTGGAATTGCTTTTAAAAAAATGTTTTGAAGAACTGCAATTTGAGTTAAAACGCTTGAAAATGTCAAGTGATGAATGAAACGGAAATGGGCGGGTTTTACATTAAGGTTTATTTTATTATTGTTTTAATCCACGAAGAGAAAAATTAAAAGTTTCTTATTTAGGAGTTCTTTGTATAAATGTTGAGTACTGTTGAATATCATTTAAAGTTCAGAACAGTTACTTGGATGGGTAGTACTTTTTAAAAATAAATTGTACTTTCTGGAGTAGCTTTCAGACATCATACTTTTACTTCTTCTTTAGTAATATAAGACTATTTACTGGTTGTAATTGGCCTAGAAAGTCATAACACATTTGGATCAGTCTTATTTATTTTTGTTTAAAAGAAATAAATGCTGTTATTAGTCTCTGCAGTGGTATCGGGCTTGACATCGGGTTCGGAACAGAAAAAGCTGGATTGTTGCATACTGTACCTATTGTGTATCTGTACTCTTACTTGACTTTACTCTTGATGTAACCGTGGTAGTGGTGGTAGTAGTAGTGGTGTCTGTAGTAGTAGTAGTAGTAGTAGTGGTGATGGTGTCTGTAGTAGTAGTAGTAGTAGTAGTAGTAGTAGTAGTAGTAGTAGTAGTAGTTGGTAGTGGTGTAGTGTGGTAGTGGTGGTGGTGTAGTAGTAGTAGTAGTAGTAGTGGTGATGGTGTCTGTAGTAGTAGTAGTAGTAGTGGTAGTGGTAGTGGTAGTGGTAGTGGTGGTAGTGGTGGTAGTGGTGGTGGTGTCTGTAGTAGTTGTAGTAGTTGTAGTAGTAGTAGTTATTGTAATAGTAGTAGTAGTGTAATAGTATTAATGATGGTGTCTGTAGTAGTAGTAGTAGTAGTAGTTGTGGTGGTGTCTGTAGTAGTAGTAGTAGTTGTAATAGTAGTAGTAGTGTAATAGTATTAATGATGGTGTCTGTAGTAGTAGTTGTAGTAGTAGTGGTGTCTGTAGTAGTAGTGGTGGTGGTGTCTGTAGTAGTAGTGGTGGTGGTGTCTGTAGTAGTAGTGGTGGTGGTGTCTGTAGTAGTAGTTGTAGTAGTAGTGGTGTCTGTAGTAGTAGTGGTGGTGGTGTCTGTAGTAGTAGTGATGGTGGTGTCTGTAGTAGTAGTGGTGGTGGTGGTGTCTGTTGTAGTATTAGTAGTAGTGGTAGTGGTGGTAGTAGTGGTGGTGGTGTCTGTAGTAGTAGTAGTAGTAGTAGTTATAATAGTAGTAGTAGTGTAATAGTATTAATGATGGTTTCTGTAGTAGTAGTTGTAGTAGTAGTGGTGTCTGTAGTAGTAGTAGTAGTGGTGATGGTGTCTGTAGTAGTAGTTGTAGTTGTAGTAATAGTTGTAGTTGTAGTAATAGTTGTAGTTGTAGGAGTAGTAGTTGTAGGAGTAGTTGTAGTAGGAGTAGTAGTAGTTGTAGTAGTAGTAGTAGTTGTTGTTGTAGTAGTAGTAGTAGTTGTAGTGGTGGTGGTGGTGTTGTGTAGTAGTAGTAGTGGTGGTAGTGGTGGTTGTGGTGGTGTCTGTAGTAGTTGTAGTAGTAGTAGTGTAATAGTAGTAATATGGTGTCTGTAGTAGTAGAAGTAGTTAGTAGTAGTAGTAGTAGTAGTAGTAGTAGTAGTGTGTAGTAGTAGTAGTTAGTAGTTGTAGTGGTGGTGGTGGTGTCTGTGGTAGTGTAGTGGTAGTAGTAGTGGTGGTAGTGGTGGTTGTGGTGGTGTCTGTAGTAGTTGTAGTAGTAGTAGTAGTAGTATGTGTGTTGTAGAGTAGAGTAGAGTAGTAGGAGTAGTTGTAGTAGTAGTAGTAGTAGTAGTAGTAGTAGTAGTAGTTGTTGTTGTAGTAGTAGTAGTTAGTAGTTGTAGTGGTGGTGGTGGTGTCTGTGGTAGTGGTAGTGGTAGTAGTAGTGGTGGTAGCAGTGGTGGTTGTGGTGGTGTCTGTAGTAGTTGTAGTAGTAGTAGTGTAATAGTAGTAATGATGGTGTCTGTAGAAGTAGAAGTAGAAGTAGTAGTAGTAGTAGTAGTAGTAGTAGTAGTAGTAGTAGTAGAAGTTGTAGTAGTAGTGGTAGTGGTGTCTGTAGTGGTAGTAGTGGTAGTAGTAGTGTCTGCAGTAGTAGTAGTAGCAGCAGCTGTAGCATTTTTGACAGCAGTATTTTTAGCAGCTAATACAAAATAATCAAAAATACTTCTACACATATGTGTGCGTATTATCGCGCTGGAAAAGTTTGAGACTCCACGACGCCTGAAAGATTTGACTTTGAAAACTTGTATAAAAAGCTTGTATGAATATATTTTTAAAGTAGTGATTTTTGGCAGCTTTCTTTCTCAGAATTGTAAATATTTGTTGTCATTTCCTCGCTCCCATCACTTTTTGGGGCTTTTATGTACCCTGCCTCTCCGCTATTGTCTGTATTGTTTTCACTTCTCTTTCTTCGCATGCTGTTTCTCGTCGTCTAACCCACCTCCTTTCATCAACCATCATCTGCATTTGACAGCGCTTCAATTTTTCAAAATGCCAATTCCTCCTTTATATCACAGAGACATGTAATTATCGTTCTCGTGTCAAATAATTCCCTATGTTTTCTTTCAAGCTGCAAAGATGGCCGCCCTTTGCATAACTTGGCTAGCGTTAGTCACACTATTCCTTATAATGTTATTTTATCAGAGAATGTTCAAATCCAGGCTCAAAGAGGGTTGGTTTAGCTCTGCGTAGGACTGAAAGGTTTTTATTCCGCGCTTTTCTCTTTTAAAGGAACTGTATGTACCCTATTTTTAAAAAGCCTGGGTTGCCATTGCATAAATCTGCAGTTAGAGAGGACACAAAAAAAAATGTTCTCAGTGTATAGACAGGACAGTTCTGATCATGTGACCTCCAGAATTCACTCAAGAAATCGAAATCTTACATACAGTTCATTTAAAATAGATTTTATTAGGATTATTTGTGTTTCTATTTATTTATATTGTGATTAATGTTGTCAGTATGCTAAGGTTTCAAACTTGATTTCGATACCAAGAAATAGACTCAATACTCGATTCCGATACCACAATGATTAAAAAAAAAAAAAAACACTCTTTAGACAATAGAATGTGATTTTAAGATTAAATCGCAGAGGTGGGAATTTGGACTCGAGACTTGAGCCACTATTTTTAGGACTTGAGACTTGACTTCATAAAATGGACGAAGACTTGGGACTCGACTTGGACTTGAAGGTCAATGACTTGGGACTTGACTTGAGAAATTCTTAAATTCTTTCTATTCTGACCGTAATGATTCACATTAAGATCTTGTCAAGACATTTAAAAAGGAAAAAAAAAATAAAAAATTTCTACAGCTCTTATATATTCTGTAAATACTCATATAAATATACTGTGATTTTTTTTAAAGTACAATTTACCTTAAAAGTCAAATAAATTGCAAAAATCTAAGCTATATTTGGTACTTTGGTTTAAAGACTTGAAGTGACTTGGACTTGACTTGGTCTTATGGGCCAGTGACTTGAGACCTTTATTTGACTTGGGACTTGACTCAGACTTGAGGTGAAAGACTTGAGACTTACTTGAGACTTGTAAAACAACGACTTGGTTCCACCTTTGTTAAATACTTACGTTGTCTATGTGCTTTTACACTTATTCTGATTCAATTCAAGGTTATTCTAAAGCTATTCAGGAAAGGTTCATTTCTGTCCTCTGGATGTGACTTTTTTTAGTGTCAATACTTGCTCAAATGAGTATCTAGTTTTGATCCCGATACTTTTGACAACCCTGATAGAGATTTGAATGCATTTCTTATTTCGTGAAACATTTCGAATGACTTTGTGTGTGAATTCTGCTAATCTTGCCTTGCATTGTTGTTGTTGTTGTTTTTTTCCCTCCTTCATTGTTTTTGTGTTTTTGTCGTACAGGAATCCGAGCTGTGAAGTTCTCCAGGAGCCTCTCAGTCTGAATGTGATTGACCCCAGTTTGCACGACACACTACCTCAGTGCATCAACACGCGATGCAGCCAAAGATTCACCAGCAGGTACGGTGTACTTGAAAGAAATTAAAAATAAACATGGGATACAACATTGTTTTGGCACAGGTAAACAACTCGAAATGGTTTGGCATTCTGAGTGTAAAATAGAACTGATTAACATTTATGTATAAGGGGGAAAAGAAGATGAGTTTTACTGTTTTTCAACGACGTCTAGTCAACATAGGACTAGAAACACATAGGGAAAACTTTGTGTTCAAGGGTAATAAATATATAGTGGTGTAACGATATCCAGGTCTCACAATACAATATTGTCACGGTATGAACCTCCTGGTATGATATATATTGCGATATGGTGCGATATGATTAGGGATGTAACAATATCCAAATCTCTCTGTACGATATTTTCACGATATATACTTCTCACAGTACAATATCTATTGGGATATTTTGTGGAGGTTAACAAAACTGTTAAGATGCTACTTGTTCCTCTTAAAATTTCTTGAAAAGACGAAGATGAAAAGGATCATGGTCTATGTAGTTCCCTCTGTCTTTCTTTTAGCTATTGCTGCACTATAACACTTAATTTAAGCAAAGAGACTTTAATTCGATATACTGTGATGGTCCACGATATTATTGTGAGAACTTTGACGATACGATATCACAATATTTCAATTATTGTTACATGCCTTGTAATATATAAACACATGTAGGTGATTTAATGGCTTACAGGAGTAGCAAAAGAACTGAGCTAATGTTTTTGAGAGGGAATACGTTTTGCCACTCGACCAAGTAGCTCCTTCAGTTGCAACCACAGTAGAAAACTCGGCTCTGTTCTAGTTCTAAATAAGGACATGGGAAATCAGGCAAGTAAATGATGAATTAAAACAACAACAACACACCAGTTGTACCCATACCACAATTTGAGAAAATCTACAGCAAGTTAAATACATTAGTTACTCTTGTACTTCACACAATATACCAAAGTAGAACTACAGTGCAGTTTAATGGTGGATTCAAGTCACTCTACTTAATCACTCTAAATTTTAATCATTAGGAATGTAACAATAACCGAAACATTGTGATATTGTATCATCAGAGTTCTGACAATAATATCGTGGACCATCACAATATATCGAATTGAAAGTCTTTCGCTTAAATTAAAAGTTATGGTGCCGCAATAGCTAAAAAACAGACAGAGGGAACTACATAGACCATGATCCTTTGCTCCATTTCAGTGTAAAGTGTAACAGTTCTAAGCACTTTTAAGTTTTAGTTCTTTGGATTAAGTCTTGTCAAGGCATTTTAAGAGGAAAAAGTAGCATATTAACAGTTTTAGCTGTTCAGCCTCCACAAAATATCGCAATAAATATCGTACCGTGAGATGTATATCGTAAAAATATCGTACTGAGAGATTTAGATATTGTTACGTCCTTAATTGTGAGCCTCTTTCCCACAATATCGCAATAAATATCGTATTGTGAGATTCATGCTGTGACTTTATCGTATTGTGAGACTCGGATATCATTACACCCCTACTAATCATGTTTTTTATTATCTATTGGATAATGCATAAGAATGTCACTATATATTGTCCTGTGAGTGCATAGATGTACTAGTATGTGACTAAAATGTGGCTTAAATTAGATTTTTTGTTATGTCAGTTCCCAGTATTCTATTCATTTTTGTACTTGATTGATGATCCTGAAATGCTTCTTTCCGTTTTCATTGTGTAAAATATTGAAGACACATTTTTCTCTTTGAATCAGTAACGTTGTTCTAATATATTTTTTCAGTGATTGTTTTGGAGTGCTGGACTGCGAGTGGTGCATGGTGGACAGTGATGGAAAGACCCACTTGGACAAGCCGTACTGTGCCCTGCAGAAGGAGTGCTTTGGGGGCATTGTGGGAGCCAAGAGCCCCTACGTGGATAATCTGGGACTATTAGGTCAGTGAGATGCCTAGAGGGGGCAGATATTACAAGGTTGAATTTCTTTCTGCTCCTTTTCATTCGTGCCGATGTAACATTATGATTGTATATCTATCTTAAATTTAAACCAAAAATGTAATTAAATCTGGCATTGGTTTTTATGTGCAAATCTTACTTTGTTCTATTGCTATCATAATAGTTTCACAAATGTCTCCTAATCTATCTTGAATTGAATTGAAAAGATGAATTATTATCATGAACAGGGTCACCTCTCCACAGATCTAACCTGTAAATGATCTAGATTGGAATGGAAGTTTAATGCTGTACTCTTGATCATTTCACACAAAACATATACATCTCCATGGAAACAAGCAGGTGGCACCTTTTACAGTCATTGAAATCCTGGAAAAGTCATGGAAATTGAAAATGTCAATTCACAGGCCTGGAAAAGTCATGGATTTTTGTAAATTCAATGAAAGTTTTGGAAGTGTCATGGAATTTTAGTATCTCTTTCATGCAACTACAATGTTCAGTTACAGTAAGTTCTCTTAGGCTATTATGATTATTTCTGAACTTTTGTTTAAAAGCGATTACAATAAATGCAATGACAGTATTTTGAATGTTAAAAAACTATAATACCACACCATAAGGTGAGTGGAAAGGGTTAACATTTCCTATTTAGCCTTAAAATCTGATCAATTCGACACATGTAGGTGCCGTAAAGTTATGGAAAATTCACTTCAGGTCATGAAAAAGTCATGGAAAAGTTTTGAAATTTTATCAGTAAAAAAGAGTGGGTTAATTGCGTGTTTAAAGCAATGTGGTCTGGTTAAGAAACTACTTTGAGATGTGTACTAATATTTTTTGTAATAATATTGAAGCCATTGTTCGTGTACCTTCCTCTGTGCAGAAGAAGACGTGGCCTCTCTGAACATGATCAAGAGCGCCCCCGTTGGGCCTGTGGCGGGAGGTATTATGGGATGCATCATGGTTCTGGTCCTGGCTGTTTACGCCTATAGACACCAGATCCACAGACGATCACATCAGCACATGTCTCCCTTAGCAGCACAAGGTAAGACTTCAGTTTACTACTTTAAAAGAACTATATGTGAGAATTAAATTTTAAAGGTCCTATATTACTCAAAATTGACCCTTGTGAGTTTTAAGACATGTTAAATATTGTTACCTAATCAAAAACAGTCCTGAGTTGTGTTTTAATTTCACATGACATCACAAGGTGGAACAGTGTGTTTTCAGTTTGAGAGATCTCAGTCTAAATATGCAGGGTTTGTGTGTTAAACATGTGTGAATGAAACAAAACACAACTCCAGGTCTGTTTTTGATGAGGAAACAACATTATAGCATGAATCTGAAAATAGTCTAATATGGGCCCTTTAAATGTCCTAACTGTGTTCCCAAATATGAGTCAAACATATGTTTTAAGGCTGATTTATTCTTAATTACAAAAAAATATAGTACATGACGACCAACTGGTTTGTTATAATTTGGTGTTTTAATTCGCCGGACCATTACCCAATCAGAAACAGAATGAGTCTCACATGTGTCTCTTGTTTGCGTTGCCAGTTTCAGTGTTGAAATCCAGTTGGTTTAGACCTAAAATGACAACATAACAACAGGGATGTAAAAATAACTGAAATATTGTTATATCATCAAATCATATCGTCAAAAGTCTCACAATAATAATGTCGACTGTCACGATATATCCAATTACAAGTTCCTTTGCTTAAATGCATGGTTTTACTGTAGCAACAGCTTATGAACATCAGAAACTACATATCCCATGATTCATTTCAGTGCAGACAACATGAAGAAATAAGTTTTTTACTTGAATTCGTGGGATTATGATGGAAATAATTTGCACCAACGTATTTTAAAAGCAAAAAAGTGTCCCCTCTACAATTATATCAGTCTCTTCAAAATATTGCAATAAATATCGTACCGTGAGATACGTAATTATGTGCTGAATCCATAACAGTTATGGAATGAACCTGCTGCCCATTTCCAACTTTACAGAAATAGTCAAATTAAGGTGGGATAGGCTAAAAAATTTCGCAAAATCTAAAATATAATTATGTTAACTAAATCAGTGGTTTTCAAATTATATGAGCATGGACTCGTACTCAATTCTATTGTTAACTTAGTATGAGTCAGTGATTAGTGGTAGTCATTTTTTAGACCTGGTTTAGGCCTAGTTTAGATGATAAAGTCTTTCTATGGACCTGGTTTACATCTAGTGGCACTCAGAAGACTATATAAGATGCACCGGATTATAGGGCACAATATCAGTAATGTTGAATTCTCTCGTCCATTTTCATACGTAAAGTGCACTGGATTATATGGTGCATTATGCAAATAAACGGACGACACTTGAGACTGATCCCTTAGCCCAGGCATTCATGATCCATTGGGAGAGCGTGGCATAATTCTTCCAGCGTTGCCTCCCTGTCTTGGTGAATGTGTATTATGAATGTGAATGTGTAATTTAAGTTTTTTTTTTATTTCCTACGAGGAGGACTCAAATATACATTCAGTAATAATGTGTTTAATGCAGCTTTGCACACATTTGTTTACATTTTACAAAAACTAAACTTAAACCACATGGGTAATAAAGTATAAGCGCTGAAAAAACGGCTCGCTCCTTGTGCGCTGATGCGGTCAGCTTCTCTCGGACTAACGGTCACCACTCAGTGGAAAATATGTGAAAATCGGTTTGACGTCAGAAAGCACAACCAGAATTAATACATAAAGTGCACCGGATAAAAAGGCGCAGTGTTGTTTTTTGAGAAAATTAAAGGATTTTAAGTGTGCCTTGAAGTCCAAAATATACAGTATATTTTCTTAGTGCTTGGTGAGAGAAGTTTGAGAAACTCTGAACTCCACTGTATACTATGAAATTAGTTGTCATATACAGTTTTATAATCCATCCTCTTAGGCCTATGTGTAATGTCTAGCTAACATATCTGCACCCTGTATTATATTTCTAGTATTGCATTATAGTACATGGCATTTTGAGTGCAGCTGATGCTTCTTGTTGCTCAATAGCTGTCATATGCTCTGCCCCCTCTCCAGTCTGTAAACAATGACATTTAGATTTAAGTAATGAATAAAACCAGTGGAGTTTAATGTCTGATTAATGAATACTAAGGGGAGGCTGGCGGAGCTAAAGAGCTGACATTAGAGCAGCTGCTGCATGATTTGTGTAATTACTCAGGATTATTGACAAAAACATCAAACAAGATTATGGCCTCATTAAAACTACACGCCAAGTCGCTCTCGGATGGAGTTTGGTAAACAACGTGAAATAGATGGGAGAGTCCGTGCCCACAAGTCTGCAGGCTTAAGATGGGCTCATAAAGTTACCGTGAGGCTTCTATAAACTATGTAACTCTTTCAGTTAAAGATGTATGACAGTTTACATCACTCCTGTTACTAAAGCATACTGAAAATTAACACTTAACAATATATAATTATATTTAAGGTTTTCCAAAAAAAAAAAAAAACTCTTTTTAATTAATTAATTAATTTATTTATTTTTGGTGAAGTTCATAATTTTACTTTCTGGTTGGATGTGGGCGACAGATATGACATATGTCGGGGTAATTCAATAACTGTTACCTAGCAACCTTTATTTTAACAACGGTCCAAGCTTGTTTTAATTACACAGTAGTTATGATTAGACTAATAAAAATAGATAACACCTCCTTTGTTTTGTTAACTGAATAGTTTAAACACCAGAAAAATGCCTCCCTTGTGCATAAATTGTCCCTGAATTTTGATGAATTTTTGTTCATGTTGAGGGATTTTGTTCCTGTATTTTTGTACTTTTAACCTCAAATATTTTTTCCCACAAACTGCCACTTAACTAATATAAAACTATGGTTCATATTTACCACAGCCACTATCCCACCAAACCAAGTAATAATTAGAAAAACATGAAACCCTTCACAGTGTTTTTGTTTTTCAAATACATAAAGCAAAAAAGCACAAAATTAATATTGTTCCCACTCTGCAGCACATTAAGGCAACATTGATTGTCTTTTCTAATCTTGTAAACATTTTTTTTCTTTGGCTCACAGAAATGTCCGTGAGAATGTCCAACCTCGACAACGAGCGCGATGAGAGGGACGAAGACAGCCACGAGGACAGAGGAATAAGTACGACTCCAGATCTCTTCAAATACATTAAACATTAAAGGACCCATATTACACTCTTTTCTGATCTATGTTATAATGTTGTTTCCTCATCACAAACATACCTGGAGTTGTGCTTTGTTTCATTCACACATGTTTAAAACACAAACATATTTAGGCTCTGTCCCACTTCGTGATGTCATGTGGTAATAGAGGAAGAGCTCCACTGCATTTGTAACTCCATATTTCAATAAAATCACTTGGATCATTTCAGCCCTGGAGTTGCCAATCTATACTGAATGTAAGATAAAAAGTAGCTGTTAACTTAAAAATTGCTTCATAACATCACATGGTGGAACAGAGCACTTTGAGCTTTGGAGATGAAGACAGACTAATAATAAAGCATTACTCAAACATGTGAATGAAACACAAACACAAACACGACTCCAAGTGTGTTTTTGAAGATGTAACAATATGTCATGACTTAAAGCTCACAAGAGTGAATTTTGTGTAATGTAGGACCTTTAATAGACTTTATAATCTTGGTAATACTTTAGTTAAGGGACCACATATTTATCGAGTACAAAGTGGTATTTGGTATGTTTGTTGTCTAACTAATATTAGTATTAGCATCTTAACATCATAGTATATGTACAAAATGATCTATTGCCTATAATGCAAATGAACACTTCCTTACATTATTAATGGGCAAAAAATGGTTAAAGGCTGAATGCTTTTAAAATATGGCCTTAGAACAGACATGTCAAACTCAGGCTTGGGGGCCAAATTTGGCTTGCGATATAAGTATATTTGGCCCGCGAGATCATATCAAATATGTATTAGAGCTGGCCCGCCGGCTACAGATAGGCTATAGAGACATTATTTATTTAAAATTTTGTTATTATTTTATATTATGCATCGTTCTAGATTCAATGTTTAAGCAAAACTATTATTAAATGTTTATTTTAATAAGAAAAGGTTGAACGTTACATATTGTGAAAGAAGAGAAAACATGTAGATGTTTTTCAATAAATATTTAGTGTGACCCACGACTTAGTCCCAGTTTTAAGTTTTGGCATTCTGTGAATTTGAGTTTGACACCCCTGCCTTAAAAAAAAAAAAAATGAACTAGTACTTTTCAAATACTACATGTAATTAAGAACTTGTTTGACACTGTTTCTATTGTCCCCTAAATGTTCACTGTGTAACTATTTGATTGGGGGTCTGTCACCTGCTTGTATCTACAGAGCTCTGCCTGGAATGTTCCACAGTATGACTTTAAACAGTTCTATCTTACATTTATTCAATTACAGATGGTTTTATAGCTAAAAATACCAAGAATAACAGACCTGTAACTTGGTCCTGTTTGGTGTCATGATGATAGAAAGGTTTAATACTGTGAAACATTCCAGACAAAAGAACAGTATCTCCATCAAGAAAAGCATTTGACGGACCCTCCACCAGAAAAGTTACACAATGCACCTTTAACTGATGTGTTACTGTATTTTTAATTATATCATTGACATTATTTATTATGAATATTTGTCTTTGGATGTTTAGTTAGTAACACCAGGTTCATCGCCGCGGTGATCGAGAGGCACACACACACCCCAGAGCGCAGGAGGAGGTACTGGGGCCGGAGCGGGACTGAGAGCGACCACGGTAAGACTCACCACACACACAGACAAAAGCCTCATTTCCATAGCGACCCATGAGCTGAGACTCTTTATTTATTTGATATGGACATGGCAATTACACTGGAAGACATTCTTTCAAGTGTTTTAGGAGGTTTTGTTTTCAATAGGAGGTCAAAAGGGGACACTGTTTTCACACAACTTTTCACACCAAATACCACCAAAGGATATATTTTGATTTCTTAGTACCGCCAGATCTAAACCAGGTCTGGCGCCACATTTATAAAACATTACAAAGAATTCTTACTAAAAGTGTTTGTAAAAGCCAAATATGAACTTCCTCAAACTTCTTATCTACTTGTCTCTGAGCCCACATCTTTCTCCCTCATTTCTTAAAGCACCAATCCACAAAGTTCTGAGTTTTTTTTAATTTATTTAACATCTAATTTCTATGTTTCTAAGTTGCATTTTTATAGATCACAAAATGAACATGGAAAGTAGCGTAAAGTCCTGCACGGGTCCTGCACTCGCCCTCACCTGCGCAGTACAGCACCGCACCTGCCCATTAACCTGTGATTTGATCAAAGTTAAACCCGCACCCGCCTGGACCCCTTAACATTCCACCCATTACCCGCCCGTGCCCATGATAAGTCACACACAGATTAAAAACATTCTAACTGAAGCATCCACCAGAATACGAAGTGAGAAGTTACGACTTCAAGAATTACAATCATGAAATGAAATGAAACGGTTATGCTTTCTTCATTACGAATATGAATTCACAGACACGACTCGACTGTCATCACTTCACAGGCTTTATTTACTGAACAGAAGAAACACTGATCAAGATGCAAGACTTTTGCACCACACTTGCCATGGACTAACCCAGGACTAACCCAGGACTGAACTAGGACTTAAACAGGACTAAAACAGGACTGATTGTGTTTTGCGGACACACTGCTGCGCGGGCTCGGGGTTCTTTATATCTCTCTTAAGTCCAAGATTAGTCCTGGTGTAGTCCTGGTTTAGTCTTGATTTAGTCCTGACCTGCCCATGTGTAATTACTACCCGCCCACATACCCGCCTGTAAACTTCCAGAATGTTAAAACCTGCCCGTGGGTACCCGACCTGGTGCAGGACTCTGAAGTAGTGTCCGTGACGTTTTTGTACGCATGCTTTTTAAACGAAAGCCCTAGACTAATCTATCTATCTATCTATCTATCTGTCAATCAATCTGTGGTGTAGTTAAGGGAATCAAAACAAATATATGTAAACTATAAAATCACACTTTATTTGTGGTTAAAAATTGTAGTGAAATGAATATGCACTAATTAAAAATGAGTTAAAAATGTTACCCTCTACTGTATGCTTTCTGCAGGCTAAACCACATTACAAACTAAAAACTCCTACCTGTATTTTTGTACTTTTCTTCACCTTTTTTCCCACAAACTGATGATTAAATGATGTAAAACTATCATAAATATTTACCACAGGTGCTCTCTCAGCAACCCAAGTAATAATTAGGAAAGATATGAAAATCTCTCTTGGATAAAAATGGTAGTGAAATAACACATTTTTAAAGAGTGCATATTTAAAAATGTTACTCCACTTGCTTTCTGCTTTCTTCAGGCTAAAATACACTACACACTAGACTCAAACTCCTTTAGTCATCAAGGTCGTTGTATGATTCTGTTGTCTTAGGAGCTGTTTGCCTGTAAGCACATAAGACGCTGAAAATCTCTCCCTTTTTTTTTACTAAATACTGCAAAGATAATGAGTTTATGCATGTCATATTTTCAGTAGATATGGTCCTACGCCCGCCATATGGTGAGATCCAAGGGGCCATTTCAATTATGACAGCTCATGTAGGAAGCACAGTGCCGTCTATTCTTAGTTTTGTCTGTTTCTTTTTCTACTGCCGGCTAAATTGCGCTTACATGGACCTTGCCGCTGGATAGGTAAACTAAACACTGCCTGCTACTTGAACATCAATCTAGCCTTGTTGCTTATTGCCTACACTGGCTTAAGGCTGCCGGAGATGCTTGTATTTTTGGGTTAGATAGCAGATTTTTTATTTTATTTATTTCTTTTCTATCCAAAAGCTAGTGCAGAATCAAATCTGCCCTAAGCTCTGAGTTTCTGGCAGAGTTACAGCTGTTGGCTTGTTCTTTTTATTTTATCACAGCTACAAGAGTGTGTTTGTAGTCCCTGGCTCTGGGGCAGGTGCTCATGTGCGCAGTACCATTTGTAGAAGTTGAAAGCTCCACACTGGATGAGAGGAGCACAAAATTAATCAAAAGCAAATTGATATAGAAATTTGAATGGATGAAATTAGGCTGCAAATTTTTGAAGTACTGTACCGTCTCCACTATTTCCTCCACAAACAACAAAATATCCTGTCTTATTCTGCATAAAAACTGCTAACGTTGTAGTTTAGATTTTCACAAAAGGGGATTCATGTATTAGTTTGTTAGTTCATATTTCAGTAGTTTTATCAATTTTTTCTGGATCAGTTTTAAAATGTAAACTTTGAACAGAATCTATTACTGAAACATAAATCACAAATCTATTGCAATGACTGTATAACTAGTTTACTAAGGGAGTGTGATGTTGCCCATAGCGTTTGGCTCATCGAGGCTGCAGTTTATAGGGGCAAATTTGGAGCAAAGTTACAATAGTAGTATCATCAATATCAAGTATCATAGTAACTAAAAAGCCAATCCGGAGTGAGGCTGTTGACGATAATTGCTCCCTGCTAAACCAGCATTGTGGGCGCTTAGCAACGCTGTCAATCAAACTTGTTACGAACACTAGTGGGAGAAAGAAGGTGCTTGATTTGTCTGTTATTCATCTTCATATCTTGATTCATATCTTAAAAACCCCAGGATCAATATAGAGTGAGTTAAATGAGCATTTTAACACCAAAATGACAAGCCAGACAACAGCAGTTACAGAGTTACAGCGTTTTTCAGTAGAAAGTGAATTTGAGCGTTGATGGAGCCGAAAGCACTCACATGCACATTTCCTATTTATAACGCGGTGGCTAGTGAGTTAGCTATGTCAATTTGATGATACTTCCAGAACCTGGTATTTTCAATTTGTGGTTAATTCTTCCAGACTTACACCGGTGGACATGTTTTACATAACTGCACATAACTTTCGAATCATAAAAGATAGAAACTTTTATTGGAACTTTGTTTTCCACCAAATTCATGTGCTCCATCCATTTTGATTGGCCCAAACTTTGCCAAAGAGTGGAGTGAGTCAAGATGGTCGACTGCTCTGTGTTTGTAACAATTGAAAAAGCCGCCTTAAGGGCAGGTATTTCTCAAATAAATGGCAAATTACACATCTTGGTCTGCGTAATTGCACATCGCTTGTTATTTTTATTAGAAATATTTACTTCACTCAAAATGTACAAATACAAATGTAGTAAACACCATGGAAATGCAGGAAGTGATGTGGCTCTGTGTCCTGGACCTGACACCAGCTGTTTCCATGACTAGGAAAGTAAAATAGCGATTTTTTTGTTTTGTTTTGTTTTGAGGACAATAAGGATATTTTTAGTTTACTTACAGACTTGATATTTTGCACTTTTGTAGCTAAGGCCCTAAATGAAGATTTTTTTTTTTTATGTACAAAAAGTTGTTTATACATGTTTTGTATGAAAGAGTGTCAATTTTATTTTCCGTTTTTTTGTTTTGTTTTGTTTTGTTTTTCATTTGTATTTCTGGTCCTATTGCTTTTATTACAGCATGCAGTTTGTGAAATAACAGGTTGTACTGAAAAAAGGATGTATAACACTTCATTAGGGAATAAAAGGGGGAGTTTTAATAGCAAATTTAAGAAAAAAAAATCCAGGCGAGGAAAAATGTACAAAAACTGCCCTTGAGTCTGGAACCCTTGCATTTTACCAATATTTATTTTAGCTCCCCCATCTGTATTCATTAATATTGTCCTATAGAATGATATGATGTCATCTGAAACCCAGCTCTAGGAAAAAATGAAAAATCACTGAGCCCTGCTAGATGACGCTAGATGGACATTTTCACCCACATGCACTCCCTCCTACACGTGGCCATGCTTGTGCTGGCAGCCTCTCTGCGTCTCTGGTGCCGTTGCATAAGTGGAGATGGCAGAGAACACGGATACATTTGGAGGAGTGAAGAGGAGAGTGGGCTCAAAGTGGGAGACAAGTATAGGCGAGTAGTCAAGCCGGATATGTGGATGTTAGCGACTGTGCAGAGAAAGAGAGATGGGACTCTGCTATAAATAACTAACTTATACATGACTACATTCAAAGTGAGGTGACGTATGTGTATTTTTGTATATGCATAAATTAGTGTATGTTTTTTTTAACTTGTGCTAGAGTAGATATATAAAGGTCCCCTATGTTACTTTTCTGGTGTAGCGTCTGCCACTTGTTTGTCTCCATGGAGATGTTATTGCTCTGCCTGGCAATTACACTGGAAGACATTCTTTCAAGTGTTTTAGGAAGTTTTGTTTTCAATAGGAGGTCAAAAAGGAACTGTTTTCACACAACTTTTCACACCAAATACCACCAAAGGATATATTTTGATTTCTAAGTACTGCCAGATCTAAACCAGGTCTGGGGCCTCATTTATAGAACGCTACAAAGAATTCTTACTAAGGCTACATTCAGACTGCAGGGTTTAATGATCAGTTCATATTTTTGTGTGAGGTCGTTCACATTTCCAATTAAATGCGACTTGTATGCGACCTCCAGTGTGAACTTTAAATGCCACAAAAAGTGTCCTGCAAGTGCACTGGAGGACACATCAACATTCTACACAGCCAGCGTGCTCAGTGTTTACAGAAGTAGCTTGAGCTTGTCTCCCAAAATGCAGTCCAGTTTTTTGTTGGACAGGTTACATGTCCAATGCCGCTTCGTTTGTTTGAGTCTTTAGCCTCCTTGTATTTGGCTCGCAGGCTCCAATGTCAACAATGATTTTTGACAATCATTTCAAAAACCGCCCAGTTCTGATAAGACCCCTCCAGTTTGTCCTG